TCAGCTGACAAGGGTAATGTTTACACGTGATCTGCTGTTCTAGAGGTATCAACATTTGCTAAATGTACACTGTTCTATTTGTACTATTGTGGTGTGGTAATTGTACTGTACATCGCGTGTTTATTGTACATTGTTCTTGTATTTACGACTGTGTATTCTTTGTACATTATCTTATTAGTACTAGTGTGATACTACTATACTACTACTTTAAATGGCCTCCAGCCTCCCCCAATAGTCACACCTTCGCCACCATTTTATTCCCTTAAAATTAAATACCCTAATACATAAGTAGCTATCCTGGCTGTGTTGAGTTAGTTGAGCCGCAGATCTATGTGGCATTCAGTGACTGTTGCCTTATAGTCAATATCTGCAATTGTTGTCGGCTTTGGGGCCGATGCTCTCGTTCCCCTGAGGCAGAGCAAAGCCGACCTAAGGAGAGAGAAGGACAGTCGACATCTCATCCAGGCTGTAACATAACTTCTGGGCTGCTGCTTCTGTTCGGATAGCACCTCCGCGAGTCTGGCGTAGAAGCATCTTGTACTTGGTCCCATCCCACCAGAGGAGTGAAGCTGCCTTGATCAACGTTCTGAATTCTCTCCCCGTATTCCCTTATCCTGTCGTTCTCGTTCCTCCTGTGTGCAGCATCGAGAGCTAAGTTACGGTGACATGCGACCATGGGATAAAAAAATCCTGATGAAGAAGGCTCGCTGTTCCAGAATCCTCGAGCACTGACGTCAACACGGGCCTCGTTGGGTGTGTTTACTACTAATACTAATACTACTACTACTGCTACTACTTCTACTTGTACCACCACCACTACTACTGCCACACAGACACGTTGTTATTAAACCTTGCGTTATCAGTCAACTCTCTTGATAACACTTACAGGATGTAACAGCAACCCTCAGAGTTTTGTTACCATCGTGTCTTAGTGGTAGAGGTGGTGGTTGTGGTAGTAGTAGTAGTATATGTTGTGGTGGTTGTGGAGATAGTTGTGGTTAGGTTAGGTGACAGTGGGGGGGTAGTAGTGGTTGTGTTAACTAACTGGATAACAAGAGTCGGTTAATTAACAGATAAGAACAAAAACAACAACATAACAATGCATGACGTGAGGGGGGGTGAGAGGGGTTAAGGAGGAGAGAGAGAGAGAGAGAGAGAGAGAGAGAGAGAGAGAGAGAGAGTATTAATACACTAAATGACTATACTACATACCCCTCCCATACCATCACCCCCTCCCCAGCATCCCCAATCACAACCACTAATACCTCCACCTCCTCCACCACCACTACCCCCCACACGCTGAGGTAATACATTGGATGCAGGTCATTTTGGCTACGATCCAAATAGTTCTCAACGTAACCTCAGCTAAACATTTATGACTGGACCACAAGTTCTATAAGGTTAGGTTAGCTTTGGTTAGGTTAGGGACTGTATGGAGTGAATGGGTCCTAATATAGGTTCAACACACACACACACACACACACACACACACACACACACACACAAAATAAAATCCATTAAAACCTCAACTTAATCCTAATAGTATCCAACTAGTGAATAAATAGCACACTAGCTAGACTACTGAGACTAGCACTCCAGGGACTAGCAACATGGATCGTCACGCTAAACACTTGATAAGTTACGTGGAAAGGTTAAGGTCCAACTTCAAGTGCGACTCAAGCCAGGAGTGCACGAGGAAATAGCCTGGTACCTGTAGTGACCTGATCCCTGTAGAGAACCAGGTACTCTATAGTGGTAAGGATCTTCAGGTGATCCATATATTTTGTAAGAGAGAGAGAGAGAGAGAGAGAGAGAGAGAGAGAGAGAGAGAGAGGCTGCAGGTGTCTGAGATGAGAGGGCAGAGGGGGGAGGGGGGAGACGCCTTAGCAACAGCCACAAGTACACACACACACACACAGACACACACACACACACACACACACACACCTTGCACCCGGTGATCGCTACCATGCTACAACCTTGCCAATTACTCGGTAGTGCCAAATATGCTGTATGCCCACCCGGGTGCCGGGCCGAAGAGAGTGCCAGGGTAATTGGTGTGTGTGTGTGTGTGTGTGTGTGTGTGTGTGTGAGAGAGAGAGAGAGAGAGAGAGAGAGAGAGAGACTCCTCTTCGCTCATAAAAATAGCCTTCGAAGACTCGCCATATCCGGAACACTAAACTGACGATGTGCCAGAAGAGGTGCCCAAGTAATGCTCTCGCCAACACGTGTCTTCTCCTCCCCCCCTGTGTCTTCTCGTCCCCCCTCCTCCCGCGTCCCCCCGTCAGGAGGTGGCGGCTATATCCTGGTTCTCCCCGTGTTTAAAAAAAAAAAAATTATCAAATTATTTTACATCCTAGTGGAGGCGGTCATTGGTCTCTGATAAACCTAACATAAGTATATAATATTAACCCTTTGACGACGATGGTTTAACCCTTTGAGGACGATGGTTTGACCCTTTGAGGACGATGGTTTAACCCTTTGACGACGATGGTTTAACCCTTTCACGACGATGGTGTGACCCTTTGACGACGATGGTTTAACCCTTTGACGACGATGGTTTAACCCTTTGACGACGATGGTTTGACCCTTTCACGACGATGGTGTGACCCTTTGAGGACGATGGTTTAACCCTCCCAGACTCGAAGGTTCAAAATTCACATGCACGATTCACTGACCTCTCACATCACATACAGTACACCCAAGTCGACGTAAAACTCATGGTGGCAGAGCCTCCCTTTTGAACATGGCAACACAGTATCCTGGAAATGCATCCATGAGGGTGTGGTGACGTCGAGGAGTTGGCATCAGTGGGGGGAGGGGCGAACCTTAGTGAAGGAGTCTTTTGTGAGGCTCAGCTGGCCCACCGAAACCCCCTCCTCCTCCTGAGTCTTCACCACAACAAACACACACACACACACACATACACACACACACACACACACACACACAATCATACGTCTCCCTACAATGATGACTTACAATCTTCATCACCAATTTCTTACAACAAATCAGTACAAACTATCTTGAACTTGGAGAGGAAAAAACACATCCCTTACACAGGAGAATCATTCCTCCGTCAGATCAGATCGGAGGAGGCGAAGTCGGGGCACAACACCTCAACGAAACGCTGCACCAATAATAATAATAATAATAATAATAATAATAATAATAGTAATAATACACAGACTTGACACTTATTCTATACCTTTATTTACATTCATTTATTCACCAATTAAACTCCTTACGTCATTCATTCACCCAGGTAACTGTTTGTTTGTTCACATGTTTGTTTGGTAGATAGTGAGAGAATATGACTTACAAAATAACGGAAGATAGTGATGATAGATGAGGGAGGTAGAGAGGGAGGGAGTCAAGAGGAAGGGAGGGAAGGAGGAGGCTAGAGAGGGAGGGAAGGAAGGAAGTAAAGAAGGAGCAATATATGAAATGATGTGTAGATTATAGTGAAGGAGGAATGGAGATCCAGCATTGAGATGAATAACCTGGCTCTCTGATCGGATGAGTAATCTGGTCCTCTGATTGGATGAGTAAACCTCTCCCATGATTGGCTGTGAGTCCCCCCCTCCCCTGTGATTGGCTGAGTAACCTCGTGCTTTGATTGGCTAAGTTAACTCGTCCTGCCAATTCAGATAGATAGAACTATGAGAATATATACCGTAATATACTGTACCCTCATATGTACGTGTGTGTGTGTGTGAAGGAGGTATTATAGTAGTGAGGCGGTCAAAGAGATCATCACTACGCTTCCACAATAATAATAATTAATAATAAACCAATATACTACAGGTGGGGTGAGTGCAGGTGACACCAAACATACACACGGTACACGTGGCTGATCCTCCCTCACTTAAGCTGCAAATATTACGAATTAATGTTACGAATTAAAATTTGCCGCCGCTGGTAATTTATGACAACCCAGAAGCGAGGAGCAAGACTCTTATACACCTGGTGGTGATTATGTCCAGCTGATCTAATATTTGCCCACAGGTGACACTGTCGACAAGGTAAAGCGAGTGTAGTGTAGTGTAGTGTAGTGTAGTGTAGTGTAGTGTAGTGTAGTGTAGTGTAGAGTAGTGTAGTGTAGAGTAGTGTAGTGTAGTGTAGTGTAGTGTAGTGTAGTGTACGAGGATTTAGGCAGTAAGTATCGTGAGAATATTAGCCCCCAGGTGTAAATATTAATAATGGTGGGCAGTGAGTGACCCCAACAGTAGCGACGTTGATAATAGAGATACAGTGTGTGGTTTAGGACGGGTGGCCCTGAGGGTGAGACTTGTACACCTGATGCCAGATACCTGCATGGATCATCAGGTGCATTTCCATTCACGTCACCTCACCCGCTTCGTCGCGCTCATTTACAAGGAAAACTGTTTAGTGTACAAAGAAAATGATATAGAACTTGTTAACAGGGGCGTGTTTATATTATAGAGAGACACCTACACACTTAGACAAACATAGACTATCCAAAATAAATAGGTTGCGTGAAGCAACCGAGTCACCCGCATAACATTGTTGCCACAAGTCACTATTGGGTGAATATTATTATGGTGTGATCTTAAGTGGTTTATAGTGGTGGTGTGGTGTCAGTCAGTCACAGCTGGGCTCACAGTGGTTGCCAGTTGGTCCCATTGTTCAGGTGCCTGTGGTAGTGTGACGCCCCACCACAGCTGACTACACCACACCATCTTCTGCTCTCAAGTCGGTGTGTGTGTGTGTGGATATAGATTACTGGTAACACTCCGTGTGACTCCAGCACAGCTAGCGTCTTGGAGTTGTTAACTTTACTAGTGTACACACACGCACGTGCACACACACACACGTAAACACACGCACAGTTTCGTGAATATAATTTATTTTTATCCTTTCTTTATAATTTAACCTTCACCGTTTCTCCCGCCATCAGGTGAGACACGTCGCTCACAGACCAGGTGCCCCTTGTACCCCTGCACCAGGTGCCCCTTGTACCAGGTGCCCCTTGTACTCCTGTACCAGGTGCCCCTTGTACTCCTGTACCAGGTGCCCCTTGTAACCATGTACCAGGTGCCCCTTGTACCCCTGCACCAGGTGCCCCTTGTACCCCTGCACCAGGTGCCCCTTGTAACCATGCACCAGGTGTCAGTGATCTTCTCACAGTTAATATGGTCTTAATGGCTGTTTCCTTGTCTTCTACATTTTATAGTGTCTTATAATTGTCTGTGTCAAAGGTAAACGAATATTGTAATCACGTTGTTTCACCAGTGGAGGCGGTGTGCGTGCGCGAGCGAGCGAAGAAAATACCTTAAAATCGAAGGAACTGAATCAGTGTAACTTGACACTTGAGATGGATGTTAACACCATAAAATAAACGAGACGCTTTTTGTTAGGGAAACAAAAAGGTTGCCCCGAGGTGCTTCCACACACACACACGCGGTTGTTTATCGGAAGCGTGTGTGTGTGTGTGTGTGTGGGAGGGGAGTATTACTACAGTGTGTGTGTGTGTGTGTGTGTGTGTGGTTCACTCGTGTGTGCGGCACATGTGTTGCACAACTGCCGTGTGATGGATGTAAAACTCAACTGTGTATGACAACCACGACCTGTAAGAACTCGACTTAAGGAAGATGATAAGATAACTTTCTAAATCACTCGTTGATTATTAATCGAGTTACGAGGAAGGTGAAGGAAGCATTTGCAGCTTGGTCTTTTCTCCACAACGTGAATGGCATAACATGGCAACTGCGGCACTACTGTAGATAATACCACACGTGTTGAACTGTGACGTAAAGGCAACAGTAAACACATCCATCACTTCCTTCATCTTGAATATCCAAAATGACTAAAATCGTGGTTAGTGATGAGTGAGATTTGGCATGTGTAAACGAGGCTGAAGGAGATGTGGCACCACTGCGGATTGAGTACACAAGTGTGCACGATTCGCGAATGTTGGCGGGGGTTTAATTTAATAACTGTTTTCATTGTTCCTAAACTACCAGCTTCACTACATTTTTATGACTTTCGTTTAAATACAGAGTTCTACATGGTAATTAAATATCCTCATTGAGAAGACATCTGCCAACAGACAACTTATTTTACTTCTAGAATTTACTCACCTTGGCAAGGAGACTTAAGTTGTAGTAAGGCTGCTTGATTTCTTAACTCGCCTTTTTTTTGTTGTTGTTGTTGAGTGAGTGAGTTGGTGAGTGAGTGAGTGCGTCGCATGCAAAACATCTGTAAAAGCGAGGGTAGTCAATGTCATAAGTTTGCTTGATCTCTGCTTAGCGATATAAAACATTACAGAGACACCATGTATGCAAAACCGTGTCGAATTTCATATTGCATTTTGATCCTGAACTTGGGGGGTTGGCCTCCATGACCTGTTCACGACTGTTTTTGTTTGTGGCGAGCTGGGCGTGAGGCAGGTGGTGGTGGTGCGTGCGGTGTTTGTGTGCCACAGGTGGGTCACACCGCCTACACCACCACTGACCACCACTAATAATACCAATACAATTTCTCACTCAATACTTCCTCAGATAGTCTTGTATGGACCCGTAACACCAAAGATATTAATAGCAGAATTAATAATGCAATGAAATATGAGTATTTTGATCCAAAAGAACCTGCGCAATACTTCCAAGCTCATGGCACACGTACTCCAGTGTCTGTAGACCACAAAATTTTATAATCATTTTCTGGGTTATGTTTTAATAATCCACATATTAAAACATCAGGTTTATTGGGAAGATCCATTGGCTGGGGTGCAGGTCTAGGTAACCCAAGATATATTAATAATTAGATTTAAACACGTTTGGGTCATCTTCATGTGCATATTGGCCGTGACTAAGTTGCTATTTTATTTTTATTTCTTTTTAATGTCTCCCACCTAAATCAGTAACTGCTAAACAATTACGGTATATAGAAAAAGAAACGCTCAAAATTCGGTGTAACAACTGTTTAGATTTTGCGCTGTGTTAAAAGCTATCAGTTCAATTATCACCTCATTTTTACGTGTCAAAAATCCAGGTGGAGGTGCAAGATGATGTAAAACTATCACCTAATCAGTAGTTGAATGACGTTCTGTCTCTTATCTCCAGTAAATTACATAGATGGTGTTCTATCTTTGCCCACACGCTTAACAGGTCATTCAGAGCGCAATCAGATTTTCAACCGAATTCGCCTTTGTTCTTGTAATTTTCCCTTTGAGTATTATTACTACATTAATAAATTCCCTTTAAAATAATTCCCATCCACTTTAGAGTTATTTTTTGTGAGTGGAAATAATGTATATTAGAAGTAACGCGAAATTGGCGGAATCCCCTAAGGAAACGTCTGGCCTGAGTGTATACAATATATCACATAACGCCTTATGTCGACACGAACAAACCAAATCTATCCTAGTTTTAAAGCATATACTCCTGTAACTCACACACATACCGCTATCGTTGGTTAATCTTGCGAAAGCGTTACGTTTACACCCCTTATATATATAAATATTCACTCATGGAAGAAAAATTTCGAGTGTAAATGGTGACTGACAGAACTTTTACAACGAAGTATTAAGAAACCTACAATAAAGCATCCGATACTTTTCCTTCTTACTCAGTTTTACATCATAAAAAGTTAGATATATAAATATTAGGCGAGGCGAAACTGGACCAGGGAAAAAACGAGTTTGATTATACTACGAGACCTACCGCCTGCTGATGGTGTTATTCCTTATTCGCGTACGGCTGGGATACAACACTAACCAATTATACTCAACCTCATTTATACCATATTTTCATTTATGAGTGAAATTAAAAGTTTTTAGGGTAGTTGGGTTTGGATTATTTCAAGACGCCGTGCTGTAAACCGATCAAGTTTCCTGTTAAAATTATTCAAAGATTGTATATAACTTAGTGACGTAGTGTAGCCTACATTGGCGGGTTTTTTCTCTTACCTTTAATGCCTATGTTTAGCTTTTATGGTATAAATTACAGAAATGTCGACAGGCGTAAGACCATGAATGGCCTTTATCTCTTTGGTGTGCGTGTGTGTGTGTTGCAACAAATCCTGATAATTTAAAAACAGCCAAATTTATTTTTCTAGATCATCTCACTTCATGACCGCTGAGGAACTTGAGTATAACTTGGTTATGGTTATATACTGTATATATATATGAATAGTACTTACAAACAATATCTGAATAGGGTTTATAAAGAATGTCCATATTTACTTACCAAGTCTAAGTTTCAAGTTATAGCTTACGGATCACTGATACATAAATACATTTAGTAGACCGTAACTGGAGTGTGTGCCTTGAGGATAACGGTAAGCGTCACAAGAAACAAAACCACAGAAAAAGTCAAAATCTTGGCAAGGTTGGGTGACATTTTTTCCAGAAATTCACCTTGAGAACTACATTAAAGCTTATCACAGGATATACTATACGATTTTCGTCAGTTTTCTTATACCTTGAAAACATATTAAGTCTGTGTGAAAAATATATATACAGTACACACCAGATTCGTTTTGGTTCTAATTGATGTCAGCATACACAATAATAACGTTATTTTCCCTTCAAACGACAAATGTAACAGGAAGAAGAAACAGACGAGATATTCCTTGAATCTGACTGTCAGGAAAAGATATATTGGTAATAACAGCCACTCGGCACTAGTTTTGTTGTGTCTGAAACCTGAGAACAGCACAACTTATGTATTAGAAGCATAAAACACGTTTGACGACATGTGTGTGTGTTGGTGCACGTGGTGGTAAGCTGGTTATGTCCGCCTGTGTCTTGCGAGTGTTGTAAGGTATTTCTCTTCACTAACTAAGGTCTTTAAGCGTGTTCATAAGACTAATAATACACTAGACATCAACAGTTAAAAATGAGTTATATTTCCCGATTTTTAATATTTTTGTAAAATGGAAGTTCGATTTCAAGAGTGCTGGCGCCGATAGCTTTTCGTCCTTGACTCATATAAGCTGTAATCTAGTGTGTGTAATATAATATACTAGTGATAAAATTAATTAGAACCTTAATCAAACACAATGACTTGTAAGTGTTGGTAACAAGCTTTTAAAGAGGTTTGTTAGAATAAGTCTGTCATCATTTATGCGGAGTTAGGCGATGGCACAGGGCACAAAATTATGACGATGAGGCAGATATTTTCCTTGTTATCTGTTGCCTAACCTAACTTAACCTAATCCTTGCCATTTTCTTACTACTGCAGTGTGTTTATGACAAGTGGCTGGGTAATATGATACAGAAAATAATTGTTCCTTTCCACTGGGCAGGTTGGCAGTGAGGACCGCGACTCTGGCACCGAGTCTGATGACGAGCAGCCTTACGACGACCCCGAGCCTGGTATGTCCCGCCCCTCAACCCTCAACCATGATCCTGCACCAAGAACCCCTCTGCAACATTCCTGGTTATGAGCACAACATCTTCCTTCCTCAGTGAGGTGATCGGTGATTCTGAACCTTTGTTGGATGGTGCATAAGGCTCATTATCTGTGTAATGAAGCCTGGATAATGAGCACCGTTGCAGCCATTACTCAGGAGCTTAATACCTGATTATTTCACACACATTGCTATAAGGATTGGCTGATAACCTGTGCATTGTAAGGTGATGCATGATTTTTAGCTGCTTTATTAAGCAAGCCTTTAACCTTAATTAGTCTCCTTTGGCCTCACATAACCCTCTGGTGTAAAATAAGAACAGTGTGGGTTAGTGAACAACAAAGGCTAAATTTGGTTAAAACTACAGAAGAGATCTGGCAGTTTCTTAATAAGCTGACGACAATCTTAGCCTAGAGGAGGTTGTTAAGTGTTCTCTGAGGAGTTCAAAAATGTTATTGACGCAAATTTCAGACGAAAATTTAGCATGGACTATGTTAAGTTAGTTCAGCGTCCATCACTTGCTGCTGACAACTTCTACGGCAAGGAAAATACTGTACACATAACTTAATTTTCATCTTTGGGGCCCCCCCAAAAAACTCTGGACTCCTCAAACAATTTCCAACAACTCTGAGTTATTTTGTCGTCACTTTAGTCATGAGCTGACACACCTCTCGTATAATACTAAAATTTTGGAGTACTTCAAAAAACACGAGAAAATTTTAAATGCAGAATTATAATTCCTCATCATTTACAGGCAAACACCTACCTCAATCCTTAGTGAACAGTGAATTGATTATGAAATTAGGGTTCTACTGTTCTCTAAAGGTAATGTATGTATATTTAGGCCAAGCTGGAAATGATGATGGTGATGATATAATGTATTCAAAAAGTTATTACCAGTTTCAAGAAAGTTTTTGATGTCTTGAGAAAATAAAGTCACTTCTAGATGCACTCAGACCCACTTCGGTATTGTATCAGGTGCAGGAAAAAGAAACTTAAGTGGTTGATTAAACTTTGATTGATTATGTGCTATGAGGAGGACTGATGATATGCAACAGAAGGATCAAGGTAGAGCCGAGAATATGTGGGGGAATCATACAGGGGGGTGTTGTTGTCTGGACAAGGCTGAGGAAAGGGGTCTGGATAAGGCTGAGGAAGGGGAGCTCTGGATAAGGATGAGGAAAGGGGCTCTGGATAAGGCTGAGGAAGGGGAGCTCTGGATAAGGATGAGGAAAGGGGCTCTGGATAAGGCTGAGGAAGGGGGTCTAGATAAGGCTGAGGACAGGGGCTCTAGATAAGGCTGAGGGGGCTCTGGATAAGGATGAGGAAGGGGCTCTGGATAAGGCTGAGGAAAGGGGGCTCTGGATAAGGCTGAGGAAGGGGAGCTCTGGATAAGGATGAGGAAAGGGGCTCTAGATAAGGCTGAAGACAGGGGCTCTAGATAAGGCTGAGGAAGGGGAGCTCTGGATAAGGATGAGGAAAGGGGCTCTAGATAAGGATGAGGAAAGGGGCTCTAGATAAGGCTGAGGACAGGGGCTCTAGATATGGATGAGGAAAGGGGAGCTCTGGATAAGGATGAGGAAAGGGGGCTCTGGATAAGGATGAGGAAAGGGGCTCTAGATGGGCTGAGGAAAGGGGCTCTAGATAAGGCTGAGGAAGGGGGGCTCTGGATAAGGATGAGGAAAGGGGGCTCTAGATAAGGCTGAAGACAGGGGGCTCTAGATAAGGCTGAGGAAAGGGGGCTCTGGATAAGGATGAGGAAAGGGGGCTCTAGATAAGGCTGAGGAAAGGGGGAGCTCTGGATAAGGATGAGGAAAGGGGGCTCTGGATAAGGCTGAGGAAGGGGAGCTCTGGATAAGGATGAGGAAAGGGGGCTCTGGATAAGGCTGAGGAAGGGGAGCTCTGGATAAGGATGAGGAAAGGGGGCTCTGGATAAGGCTGAGGAAGGGGGGTCTAGATAAGGCTGAGGAAGGGGCTCTAGATAAGGCTGAGGAAAGGGGGAGCTCTGGATAAGGCTGAGGAAAGGGAGCTCTGGATAAGGATGAGGAAAGGGGGCTCTGGATAAGGATGAGGAAAGGGGGCTCTAGATAAGGATGAGGAAAGGGGGCTCTAGATAAGGATGAGGAAAGGGGGCTCTAGATAAGGATGAGGAAAGGGGGCTCTAGATAAGGCTGAGGACAGGGGGGGTTATGGAGGAGGTGCTGAATTTGCATAACTAAATAGATATCATAAAAGAACCTCTTGATTCAGATAAATAGAAAAACTAAAGCAAAGAACAAATTAATCTATCAATTAAACGAAATTACTGTACAAGAAATAGGAGACAGAAAGCATTTACGTGAATCTGGTTTTTAAGAATTAATTTAGTAAGAGGAGTCGGACTACATGAATGGCGTGAATGATCTCCTGTTAAAGTGCTAAGAGTCCTGCTGCTTGTTGCCAAAAGTCCCTATGTCAGATGTTAATGGAAGCCATCCACCCTAGATATTTATTATGTTATTTAAGCATGTGCATTCCTAACATTCCTTATTTTTGTATTTATTTATTTGTTTATATATATATATATATATATATATATATATATATATATATATATATATATATATATATATATATATATATATATATATATATATATATATATATATATATATATATATATACTGTATATATTTTTATTTTTATTTTAGCTTTCCACTCCCAAACTTAGCACTGCTTTAGATATCCATAATTCCGTTTAACTTAAGTTTAATTCCCTTGGCAATTCTATTAAGTTTTTATTCCCATCTCCCAATTCATATGCCATTTCTGTAACCTAAACACAGTATCTACTAAAATATCCTCAAACAAGACTGTAAGGTAGGATGGTTTATGCTTATTCCACCTTCATGCATGCATTACAGACTTACCCTCGTCACTGTTTCTGACAATGACTTCTATCCCAGTCATGTTGGAATTTCCACTAATTATCTATTCTCTTAAAGCTGTGTCATTACTGAAACAAACTGATGCCATCACCATTGTAAGTATTGCCATAAAATAGTCGCCCTTTCTCCCCTGTTGAATACTGTTTGTGACACTCAAGAGCTCCCTGGAACATACACCATAAGCTCCCTGGAACATACACCACAATCTCCCTGGAACATACACCATAAGCTCCCTGGAACATACACCACAAGCTCCCTGGAACATACACCACAAGCTCCCTGGAACATACACCACAAGCTCCCTGGAACATACACCACAAGCTCCCTGGAACATACACCATAAGCTCCCTGGAACATACACCACATTCTCCCTGGAACATACACCACAAGCTCCCTGGAACATACACCACAAGCTCCCTGGAACATACACCACAAGCTCCCTGGAACATACACCACAAGCTCCCTGGAACATACACCACAAGCTCCCTGGAACATACTTGTACACCACAAGCTCCCTGGAATACATTCTTCATTTCCACATTGTCCTTTCAGTATTACATTAAATTTGATGTAGAAAGTTTATTCAGAAATAAATGTAAAAGAGTTAAGCTAAACTAAGATACAGTACAGGTGTAAAATTTAAGTACTGTACTGTACTGTAACCCCATCCAATTGGTGCCTTAATCCAGATAAAAGTATGAATAAAATGTATAAAAAAAATTAATCCCCAATTCTATGTAAAGTACAGTACAGTACTTAATTTTTAACTATATTCATATCTTTTTTCTTCTCTGTTTCTTTTATATATAATACCTGTTAATACAGCCCTCAGTCGAGCTAAACACCCTTATCTCATAAAGTATTGGAGGATAATTTTAACCTGCTTTATTAAAGGACATCTAAACCAAGATACGGTATTAGAGATATTTTGAGCAGTGTTGTTTGGCAAGATGGAAAGTATAGTTTTGGCTGGTAGTAAATATATGTAAGAAGAACTGCATTTTCCAGTCTTTATGTAAAGTAAAAGGCAAGAATGAAATATGTGCTGCAGATGTTCTTGCCAAATAAGTGAAATGTGTGTTGAGTGTTTTTAGGTAAGTGTGTGTATGCTGAAACACACAAGGCTATGCAGAGATCACTGTTTTGACATACAGTACTGTACATATGCTAAAATATACATGTAATGATAATTGTAGCCTATTACCATTGATAATTTTAAGGATGGGTAATATGGTCACTTATAAAGTGATTATGAAAAAAATCTTGCAAGGGGAGTCCACTAAGATAGAAGAAAATGGTAACAACCAAGTAAGGGAAAGAAGTGTTCACATTAAGGTTTTGTTACTGATTACTGTGTCAACTCTGTCAGCTGTTATGCCAAAAGTTTAAATATTTAGCATAAAATAATGCACCAGTAATACTATAAGAATTATTATTTTTTTAACAGGCAGCGAAATGTCGAGTGAGGTGTCCAGCGGGTGCAGCGTGAGATCGCGCCCCACGAGCCAGACCAGCACCGACACTCTCACCTGTGATGACCTCCCAATGGCTGGCGATGCACCCGACATGCCCCCACCATCTACCATCCCCTCTGCTGCTCCCTCATCTACAGGTCCTTATCACCATCCACATCTTCATCATCATCATCATCATCACCACCATCTCCATCACAGTCATCACCCACACCCAACGAGGAGGGCACGAACACCACGTCACCCACACCCATCTCTACGAACCCCAGACCCACCTAGAGAGTCACCTGCCTTAGGGTCCCCTATTGAATCCTTCTTGGATTCTGCAATTGTGAGTGACTATGATGCATGTGATCCTGTTGAACACCATTCATCTGAAGAAGAGCTGGAAACACTCACAGGCTCTTGGTCTCGGGAAACAGGGCCCCCAGAGAAGCGGAAGTGGTCGCAAGTAGCCAGGCTCTCTCTAACAGACTCAGGTACATGACTTGTGTGACATTTACATTTCATCTTTGATCATTTGATTTAATAAAAAGATTAAGAATATCAATTTGTTTCTGCAAGATCAATCCTGAAGTGTTGTACAGTATGTCATAAATAAACTACCGTACTGTCCTGTCTTAGAATAAATTTTTTTTATACACTGTACAGTAATAGGAAAACTCTGTTATAGTACGTAATCTATTAAACTCTTAAGAGAACATTATATTTACTGAAATGCAACCATAAGTCAAGTTACCATCATGACTGAACATCTGAAACATCTCGCTTACTCTTCACTTTTTAATTTTCTTTTATTCTTCCGTGTTTCAGGAAGCAGCGACGAGGAAGTATGCGTTTTGACCACTGGGTCACGCCCACCCGTCCAATTCAGAACCTCCCCGCCACTTGAGGCTCACAAACCCCTACGCTCTGTCTCTCCACCCACAAAGATGCTCAGTCTAGCGAGCAGTGGGAGGGAAGGCTTGTTGTCTACAAGTGGAGCAGGGGAGACTAGTGGGTCACCAGGAGGTGCTGGTGGTAGTGAGGGTGGAACTCCCAGGGCGGAGGGTGGAGCCAGGGCGGCATCCCCTCGCAAGAGACACAGACAGACGCCTCGCCCACACCAGATGCACCGCCCATGTCTAGACTTTGAAAAAATGCAACAGGTAATCATAGATACTAAACTTGGTTAAGTATATTGTGATTACATGTTAAAGATAATCTCCGTAATTGTGTATTTATTTTGGTAGTCAGTGGAAGAAGATGCATGCAGTTTGGTCATTTTTTAGCTTTATCATTAGAAAAAATATGCATTTTTTATACAAATAGTTTTTTATCATGGCAAAAAATGTAACTGCTGATATCCAATTAAAGATTTGAAAATTAAGGTACCTAATAACAGTGTTAACAGCATTAAAGAAAATATACCGTGCTGGAAGTTTGTGGTAATACACTACACCAGAAAATGTGGTTCAGTATAGAGGAATCCTGTATTATGATAGGACAGTTCTCACATTTTCTATAATGAAGAGGAAGTGAAAATTTTACCATCAAAATTATGCCAATATGTTACTATAGCATATTTAGAGAATAATTTACATTAATATGCAAACAATCTTTTAATTGTCTTGATGACAGTTCACTCTCAAGATGGTTAAATAATTTATAACCAGCTACAGTAATTAACATTTTATGATATTCATGTCTATAGCTACTCATAATACATGTAAATATTCTAGGCAATGATCATAGCAAGAATAGGTCTAGTTATTGTAATGGCATCTTAGGAAACCACGTGGTGATGTAGGACCTTCTTCATTATGTTCTGTAAATGTGTGTTATGGAAGCAGTATACTCATGTTAATTAGTTCTCTATTACTGGTTTAGCAAATTCATCAGTGACCTTAGCTATAATCCTAGATATAATGCACAAACCATATTCCAAAAATAATTTGTTCCATCAAATACTATAAATCAGACTTCATTTGGTTCCTAAGCTCATGAGACTCTAACTCTCTACTGTTTTTTCTAAAGATGTGGTCTGAATATTTAACACATAATCAAATACCAAGGATATATTACTTTGGAAACACTTCATATCTTGCTTGATAATTGAGGAATCATTTATAAGTGGACATGACTAGACTCTCACACTGTGTACTAGCTATGTAAGCCTAATGATACCTAGTAATCTGTTAGTTGGAGTCTGTTAAGCTCTTGGCCAGGATTCTTGATGAAAGATTTTTTCCTTATAAACTTGTATATAACATTTTTGTAAAGGTAGTTTGGTAATTACAAACTGATTCCTGATCTAAACTACCCAGTACCTCATTCTTCCAAAATAATGGACTGTACATTGTATATTTTGCATTTTTTGCATATATTTTAAAATACAGTATAGCAAAAGTATTAGACATTCTGTATATAGACCAAAATTTCAATGTCGTTTGATATGATTTTTTAATTTTTGGCTTAAAAGCATAAATCGTATGTATTGTAGTGTCTCTCTACTTTCTTAAAACAAGGAGTGTCATCCACACAGGATCACACTCCTTACTAAGCCATCATAGTTTTTGACGGAATGTACTACTGTACATGCGTGGCAACACAGTTAAATCATCATTATTCTGTAGTCAGTAAATTTGTTAATTCATCCCACATATTTTTATTGTTGAAATATATGTATGTTAACATTATAATATGGATCAGTGTGTTTATGTGGAGCTGTCTGCCTTGACCACATTACAGTACAGTATACAGTATTTATTATGGCTACATATCTCACTGTGGCACCAATAATTAACAACACAGTACTGTACTGTAGCACCTTTATTCTAAATTAAATATCCTTTACATTCTCAGACAGCTCAAACATTTCTCATTCATACTTCATCGGCTCATCGTTTTTACTCTCAGTAAATATTTACAAACAGTTTTATATTGTTGGTAATACTCACCATATGCATGGTAAAATTTATATTTGGTAAATTAAGAATAATTTTTGTTTTTCGTTATTTTGCCACCATGTCCACCACCTGGGGTAACTCTCTCTTGTCACCAGTGACTCTCTGTTTCATTCAAGACCAAACCGTCAGCAATTAACAAACAGTATATTAACAGCCACTAATATACACACACAAAAACAAACAAATGTGAATTCCTTGATAAATTTCTCTATGTAGTGTTCAAGTACGAGGAATATTTGCTTTCCATTTGCATACTGTACAGTACAGTAGAGGAAACTTACACAGTACAGTATACTGTACTTGAAAAGACAAGGTATTACAAGTCATTTGTTTTATACAAATAAATATTGCACTCATGAGGTAGTGAATGGAAGCTTATTGTGGGGTAGTGGAGGCTCATGATGGCCAGTGTAGTGCTCTTAACCCTTAAACAGCAGCCATCATCAGCGGATGTTAGCTATAGGGACGGTAGCCAACAATAATGGATGTTTCTTGTTCCTTGCGTTCCATTTTTTGCTCATGGGGTGGGTAAGGGAACCCTTAGCCACCTTTGAAGGGTTAAAAATGGATGTTGAATGACTCCTGGACACTGATTGACCACAATACTTCCAGTTTCCAAATCCACAAAATGCTAATATGATTTTGAATTTGTGTAAAAGACAAAAGCACACCTTATATATACTGTACACTGCTGGTGGTCATCCTATTTTAACTTGTAATGGTCTTTGTTTTGCATATTTCTTGACAGTCATTGTGAACATATTGTCGTTAAGGAGACAAAATTATTCTTATTTTAATTATGACATCAGAAGAACTTATTATATAACCTGAAAAGTGGCAGCTGCCTTTGATATATTAAAAGTATTAATCCATTAGGGAATGACAACAAAAATACCATAGTGGCATAAAATATTACCATACGTACTGTGCTGCCTTTAGCTAAAACATACATGTGAAGGAAACAGCTCAGACTTAAAACTAATAGCTTACTTCTTATACCTTGCACTAAATAAGGTAACTGATAGGTTTATAAGTTTAGTTTATCTTATATTCACTGAATGTGTTTGGGGGTACAAGTCGTGACAGTGACTAGCGAGTCATTGAAGACCACACTCTTCGTTATAATGGTTCCAGCCTTAATAGGTCCTAATAGATCTTAATCTAACCAATAGACTTGAATCGAATTATAATGATTAGGTTTGGCCTTGCTAGGACTGAGCCTAATTTGATCTGTCACCTTAAGAATCAGACATGCCAAAAAACTTAAGTACCTACAATAAAAGCAATCACCACTGAATTAAACTTGCGATTGTCACCACGTGGAGAAAATGTCCTCTTTACTGTTCTGTATGCATGCTTATTAATCACAATCTCACCAGCTATTAAACTACATTGATTTATTCTCAGTTCATGTTTAGTATAACTATGTTAACTCTCACAGTGCTTGAGTGTTTCATAGTCAGTGGGTAATGTCTTTTTTTGTCATTCCTCTATCGCTGCCGTTATGATTCATCCTCTGACTCGGTTCATCTCTTTAAGCAATCCATCTCTTCCCGTCCAATCTACCGCTCCCCTTCCAACTTCAGTCTCCCCTCCAATCTAACTTTCCCCCTCCAATCTAACTCTCCCCTCCAATCTACCACTACCCCTGCAATCTCCCTTCCCTCTTCTACCACAACTACACCACTGTCAAATCTATTATGTCATTGGAGTATCAATAATCACACAGTCAAAACACATCCATTGTCTCAGAAACTTTATACTGTACATATATCCATTAATCTTCCCAATGACTATACTTCACACTATATATATTTCTCAAATCTATATTTCTTTACACTTGAACTTAATTCCTATAATTGTGTGTATTTTATTCCTTTCTGTTGCTTGTAATTTTGTTTTCTGTACTTGGTGAACTAACTAACCATTCTTAAAGTAGCTGACCTTGATATTAAGTGGCGGGGTTTTTTATTTTCATGGATTTGCATTTGTTACAAAAAGATACAGGAGATCACACCACACTTAGAATTACTCTCATAAAATCATTTGGTATTTGTGTATTGGTGTGGCTATTAGATAAACCATTGTCATCCTGGTCTTGGTAATCATAAATTGTGACCCATTCACTGCTTAGATTTTTTATGCAATTTTTATTTCATTATAACCAAGAGAAAAAATCAGTACGTATATATTAGCAAGACTACAGTACCCTTTGTGTATGGGCTCCCCTCTGTGCTAAAACAAAATCGTCTGTCGTTGGCCGAATAAAATTTTAAGAGTGTGTCCCTGTAGTGAAGGGGTTAAGTATGTTAAGGTCTTTTATTTATTTATTTTTTTAAAGTACAATGACGTTTGATTTCTATCCAGTTCAGTGATTGGTCTAGTTTTTTATACTGACTGGTAACCCACTGAAAGGTCGACAATTCTAGCCTCTACTCTGACTCATCCTTTATTTTCAGTATTAAGAGTGTTGTAACTTATACTACAGCAGTCCCCTACAAATGTCTTAAGGTTCAGTATGTAATAGACTCATACTGTACATTAGTAAAGTTTTCTAAAGGGAAATAAGGGCTAATGTTTGGGTCTCTTAAAAAATAAATCATCCCACACAATTTAAGTCTTCACATCAAATGATTTGCTTTTTAAAGATAGGAAAACATTTACATTCAGTATTAAATAATATAACTACAGTACTACCATTTGAAATAAAACAATTCAAACTGTACTTACTGGGAGGTAGTAGTTGTGGAGAAGGCATTTGTTGGTATACAGAAGTGGTGTGTGGGCCAGCAGCTAGGGTGATGCACTGAGCTGTTGAAACACTGAATCTAATATATTCATCCACATAAATTTCTTCAAAAATCTACAGTTCCCTTACATTTACCCCAAATAAGTATATAAATTAATTGTTCAAATGGTAAGGGATTGTTCCTGTTTGAGTGAGACATTTGTGAGGGATTACAGTATTATAAATGTTTATATAATTAGTGTATTGTGAAAATTGATTATTCCCTGTAGTTATAATGGTGGTAGTGACAGTAGTGCTTATGATGAAGGTAGTATTGTAGTAGTAGTAAGTGTATTAATATAGTAACTGTAACAAAAATATTATTGTTCTCAGTAGGAGCCAAAAATAGATGATAATAGTGTAGTAGTTGTATTAGTAGTGTACATAGAATGATTCAGTATAGTAATATTGGTAGTAGTAGTAATGCAGTAGTAGTTTCTGAACCCAATGAACAACCCTAAACAACAGTGGCAGACGATATAGATAATAGATGGGTAGAACAGTAATGCAGTACAGTACAGTAGTAGTACCAGTATTAGTTGTACTGTAATGGTACCTGTATTAAAAATACTACTGAAGTATTAGTACAGTACAGTGCAGTAGATGTTGTAAGATTATTATTTTTATGGGGAAATCTAAGTAATAGGCACCTCAGTATAGTACAGCCATTTATTAACTCCTGTTATTTCACAAGCTGTTTACATTTTTCTTCACTTACTCCTTATAGAAAGAACTTGAGCCTGTTCTACACACAGGGACATCTTATAGCTTTTGTCACAGGTAACTAACTGGTGTACTGTAGAGCTGCTCTGAATATCATACACTGTAATAACTCACCAAATGAATATACAGTAATTTGAAACTTTTTAGGAATGTTGATTCTTAACATTGGTCCTAGAGGTGTGTGTGTGTGTCAAGTGTGGTGGAGAATGACTTGAAAGTTATAGATGTTACTTACAAAGAAAAGTGTTACTTTCTCATTACAAGTCTCAGTTGCTCGTGGAGAATTTATTTCGGGAGAAGTTTAGGAGTTGTATGTCCTTCATTGACGGTTGTTGCCATGTCTCGCTAACACTGTGCCTCTTGCTGTCTACGAGTCATGTTATCTCTTCAGTGAGTTACATTGTTTTCCTTGTATCTTTTTGTCTCTTTGTGTTTCCTTCTCCAACGCTTTTCTATATCTTACTTAATCTTTTTCTGACACCTTCCTTCGTTTTTTACTTGTGTACACTTACTGCCACAGCTACTATCTTCTCAAGTGGGAGTCAAACTTGCATGTAGAATTTCTCCATAGTTGTTGCTAGTAATGTATTGCCTTTGTGGTAAAATGATGGTTGGTGGCTTAAATGTTTATTGCTCCAAGATTTTGCATATGGCTTTCCTTTAAGTTCCAAGGAGAACAAAGTATCAGGTACATGAGCTCATGGTAACTGGAGCCAAACTTAGACTGGTGGTAACTGGAGCCAATATTATTCCTAATTAATGTATTTAGGAGTACCTTACCTGTTCTTATTCAGTATTATTTGCACTCAACTCTGGAATGCTGAGTGGTAGAGTAAGGAATCATAACCTCTGGTACTGATACTGCCTAAAGATAGTTCCAGCTTCTGTGATCAGTTATACACAACTTTCTCAAAGGAAAATCTTGATCTGGAGTTTATCCTTGTCTTTTGCGACTTCATTACTGTATCTTATTTTAAAAACTATTAACTAAATTGAAATACAAAAGCAAATACTGAAGATGTTTTTATACAGTAGAACATTACAGTTTGTGAGCATTACCGCGTGAGGCTTCGTTTATTATGAACTCTGAAATTTAGTATAAACTTTAGAAATACTGTATATTTATTAAATGGTCAAAGGAACAGAGAGTCAGTGTTCTATAAGTCTGTATTGTCAAAATTATCAGATGATTGTGAAAACTTTTAAGTTTGGTGTGATGCATCAATTGAAAATTTTCAATACGAACGAAATTTTGACATTTTCCCTGGTTGATTTTGACCATATTTTAGTGTACTATGTATATTATTTTTTGTAGTTTTCATCACTTCTCTAGTACTGTATGTCTCTATAGAATACATGAGTTAACTGTACTGTACTGTACTTTAAACTACTGTCAATAACGGATCATTTTCTCCAACGTGGTTTCCAAAGAACAAAATTCTTAAGTACTCAGATATGTTAAGTTATAATTCATTTTACAATTAATATTACAAAGTCATTCATAAATAGGTTATAAGTGACAGTGACCACAAGTTGTTTAAGTTAATGTGTTTTATTGTTACTTTCTGTTCATAGTATTTGATATAAGTTTCAGTTTAATGAAATATGTGGAAATTAATAGGATACTCCTTAAATTTGGTGTTTGAAATAAAAAAATTATTAATCCTTCACGTTTTCAGATGAAAAATCGAGCAGTTACACAGTGGAGGAATGGTGGTGAACTTTCCCTCTCTTTCTGCTAGTTTTCCGCTGCTGCATGACGACCTTTAAGTTCCCACAAGCAAGTTTGGGAAAAGAAATTTGTTTGTGTTGTTTTGGGAACAAAAGGTTGTAAAGCAAAGACAATGATGCAAAGCCTCATAGATTGCAGGTTTCGAAAGGGTGTGGTTTGTGGTTTGCGTGGTTTGATCGTGTAACCGTTCTTTGATAAGGTAAACCTTAGTGTTAAAGAGAAGTCACCTTTACTAGACTGGCAAGACCTGAGGTGTTTCTATATACAGTTATTTTACATGGTTTGTGTTATATAATGGGAAATATGGAATTAAATATTTCTTAAGAAAATTTTATAATGTAATTTTTTGATATGTCGGATTGATTCTTGTATTTTCATCTTTAATACTGAAAGTATTGTTACACAGCAAATTGAAAGAGCCAGAGAATAAATTAATTGTAATGAATTAGCCACATCAATATACAAATAATGTTCTTGTAAAATCAAATGTGGATGAATTGTGAATATTAATTTCTACCTTTGCATTAGGGATTTCATGTCATTTGTAGCTTAATAGAAATAATGAAATGCAAGTAGAGAGAAAGGCTGAAAGAGAGAGAGAATGAGAGTGAGAGGATGGAGTATATCTGCCCAATTTTGTACCTGATTCCTAATTTAAATAAATGTAAAATACTTACCAATTAATATACGTTAAAGACACGGTGGTGAAGATCTAATGCAGAATAATATTGACTTTCTGTAAGTAAAGCGAAATGTATATGTTTAGAATCGGTGACCAATCAGATTTTTTTTCAAGCTTTCTGACTATTTCATAACAAATTGGAATTTCTTGTCACAAAAACTTTCTAATAAATTGGGACATATGAAATTTCTATCAGTATTGATGGCTTCAGTAGACTATTACTCAGCTGGGAAAAATTATATATTATCTCAATAAACATGACACTTGACAATAACTTTATTAATAATGAAGAACAGGGTAACTCACATAATCTCCCCGACACTAAATATATACTGTTTGTATATATATATATATATATATATATACTGTATATATATATATAAACCCATCGGCGTGATATGGTAATCCATTTTTGTCGCAGTATAGGCAACTGGTTGAAGATTACTTTAGACAAAAGTAAGAATATAAAAAAGTTTATAAAACCACAAGCAAAGTTTTTATATTTGGACGAGATAGTTCATTAATGTATAGTACAGGTACAGTACAGGGTATTGTTACAAATCAACTGTTTACTGAATATTGTAAAAAAAAAAAGGGCATTCAGTAAAGAATTTCTTACATTGGTTACCACAGGAACAACTCTACTCTATTGTATTAGTGGGATAAGGTCTCTGTTTGACTGACTCGCCACATGTTGGTCAGGTTTGGATAGGTTATGAGACATTTTATCTGATTCATGATAATAAATCTTTCCAAAATGTAATTCATTTTGGGTACACAATTATCAAATGATATTAAGACCATTAGCAGAGTGTTCTTACCACAAAAAATAGCCAGAAAGCTTGAAATTACAAAACAAGTCAAATTTCCCGTATAAAGAGAAAGTGATCAGATGTCAGTGAAACTTCAAGGTATACTGTAGTCAGATTTGTTTAAGTGACCAGCATCATACACTCTTTACGTTTTACAATATACTTTTTTCTTTTAATACGACAGTGGTGTGATGGTTACCGAGACTGAGACTGATTTTAGTTTAAATTTTGCTTCCCGGGAGGTACTACTTTATCAGCCATGTACTGTAATCACTTAAATTTACATGTTACATAAATTGCATGAATTTTACAAACCTGCATCATATTTCTTCACTTAATTTATTTACAGTATATGATGTTTATGGAAATTTTAATTCACAATATAAAGTCAACAACAGTGATCCTATGTTTAGTTTAATATGATCATAAGAACGGGTAAGATATACTGTATGCGTAGTACAGTACAGGGAATATCTTACAGCTTCTTAAGACTAAATTGGATGGTACAGTACTGTAATTTCTATGTAGGGGGTAAAGATAGGGCCAGTAGGTAATGCTTTTTCATCAAGGTTTTAAGTTATAAATACAGTTCATCCAGCGTCCTTTTTCCTCTTCTCTTAGTCGTCTGTGGACATTTTTGCCACCATTTGTCAATTTAAACTTTATGAGACCGAAACAGACCATTTCAACACTTCATTACTGTACAGTATTTACAAGACTGAAACAGACCATTTCAACACTTCATTACTGTACAGTATTTACAAGACTGAAACGGACCACTTCAACACTTCATTACTATATTCTTGCACTTGTCTTTCTGCACTTGTTTATACAGTATATATATCTGATCTTAAAATAGCTTAGGATAGCTACTAAATTTTGAAGATTAATCCTTATGAAAATTTATAAACATACAGCCACTCGCTTTGTTGTTCATCTTCCTTCAGTTATGCTTTTATCTATTTTATGCAAGTTACATCACAATCACAAATTGTAATCGTGGGGGAATGTTTGATAATGTGCCAAAGACGTTTAACCCTTTCACTATGGGGACGGGGATGATTTTATTCAGCGCAGAGGTGAGCCCATACACAAGCGGCTAAAACACAGATTGATAGTGACAGTGCATGTACCTGTACTGTATCAAGGAGTGGTAGTGTATGTACTATGTCAAGGAGTGGTAGTGTATGTACTATGTCAAGGAGTGGTAGTGTATGTACTATGTCAAGGAGTGGTAGCGTATGTACTATGTCAAGGAGTGGTAGTGTATGTACTATGTCAAGGAGTGGTAATGCTCATAAAATCTTTTTTAACTTTTGACGGAGTTGATGTCTGGTGTCAGTAAGAGGGAAGTTGACCAGCGAATGATATTCTTTGTTACAATTTTAATCTTATCTTCTAAAAAGCATTCATGGTAGAAGTATTTAATCTTTAATTCAAAATTTTAATTGTCATAGTTACTACAGTGCTTCCCAACTCCTTGGTAGGTCATTCGTTTCTCTGAGACACATGATTCGTTTGTTATTAAATTGCAATAGGTGGCAATGATGGACCATCGCCAAGTTTCTTATTCTGACACTCGACATTTTGTTCAGCCTGAGATTGTGAGCCAGCCAGGGTACAGTAGTTCACACGGAGAACATGAGGTTTAGTTAACTTTATTAGTTCATTCTGAGTCATTAGATGTACCAACAATATTTATTTACCTTTATTAAGTAGAAGAGTATGACCATATCTTTAGCACACGTACAGTGACTCAGTGATGTACCAATAACAAGAGCAATTAATTCATCAATAGCGACTTCGGTACAGTACAGTACATAGACCTTGGCCGTCCTCTGGATACAAGTGCAAATAATTACGTCCTCTGACAATGAAAGATGGCACCCACTATGTTTTATCTATAGGAGAATGTTTTGTGCTGTCAAATTTATACAAGTTTGCCAAAATTGAAAATGATTTGTCCCTGGATTCAATTTTAGAATGTAAGACGTGGAATCCATAATATTAAACGGTGCACTGACAATAAGTTTTACTCCAAAATTCTGAGACAGATGATTGATCAGTAACAATGAAATGTTACAATTATTTTTTAAAGCATATATAATTTTAGTTTAGTATAATATAACTGAACCCATGAACCAGTGATTAAACTGAACCAACATTACAGAATAAATTTGGAAAAATCTTGCGGTGTCACCCCACTTTTAGATGCAGTATAAAATATACCAAGCACTCGCACCGGAGTCATGGTTTCATATGGATAAAAATTAGATCACGAGTACTGTATTTATGGAAAATTTAAATGCTTTTTCATTCATTCTAGTTATGATCAGTTGCTCCTTAAATAAGATGGAGGGTTAAGTGAATAGAATTTGTTCATGGTGCAATACAGTATAATACATTTATAACAACAACATTATTTTATGGCATGATCTGCATTTAGTCTCATACTTCTATTTATTTAACCATCTGTCATTCCAGACAGAATTATTGAACCTACGGAGGCTAATATTAAATCTATGTACACTACAGTACTGTACAGTATATGGATAATGATTAAACTCTCCACTTCATATACATGAGGAATTTGGGTTTCTGTTTGGCTATTTGCCAAAAGTTCAGTCATTATAAATCTAGTACAGGTATGGGGTAATAGCTTAAAAGTAAATACCGTAATGGTAAAAGTTATTGTTTGGTATTACTGATGAAATAATAATAAAAAGACTGACATCACTACTAAAATATTATTGTGTTAGCATTTAAAAGTGGGGTTGGGTGTCCAGTTTGTGCACCATTGTTCACAAGTCATTGTACATCTCTACACACATTCCAGTGTCAGCGGCCCAACACAAACATGAACCATTTTCCAAAACACTTTGGGTGTTAGTTCTGTTATTGTACAACTGAAGCATCTGTTCTCTACTTGACCTGTGATGTAGGGATACACGAGTGATTACTACGACTACCACTACTCTCAAGTCCCCTAGAATTAGTACTACCTTGAAGTCTCTAGGTAATAATACTTTTAAGTTTTCAAATACGTACCACCACAGTGATATTTTTAAGTATATTACTTTGGATATTCTTTGTTACTAGTACTGTATTCTGAAGGCCTCTCATAATGAACATGAAATTACATATCTGAACTTTGAAATCTCAGTCACGATTTGAGTAGTTTCATCAGTTAAGGATTGGCCCCTTTTACATGCTAGTTCTTACCCTCCTTTGTAATACTGTAAAGCACAAAATTATAAAGCCTAAAAAATTTCTCGAGAAAACAAAGCCGGACACTTTCATACCTTTTCTCTCCCTGGTGGTGTTAACGTTAGATGATGAAATGTTCACTTTCTGTCTCCTCATTGACTACAGTTCTGCCAAAACTCAATATATTCAGTACATTGTTACAAGCATTTACAGCATCTCTATCAGTCATTACTGCATAACAAGGCATACAGAGTCCTTCACATGTATGAACACAAAATACAAGCAGCACATTTCCTTCTTCCATCAATTTAAGGAAAAGTTTTTGTTTAAATTCAAAATTATACCGTATATAGACTGCATATATGTATACAGTATATTATAGAAGTTGCCCAATATGTATGGCTAAGTGCAATATGTGTGATATATGAAATACTAAATTTCTTCTTTCATTTACCATTTAATAAATGGTTTGTGTAATTTGAAGCTTTATATGGGCATTCAATAAGGCTGTCTTTAAGGATAATGAATTTCATAAATAAATTAACCAAAAGAATTATGCAACATACTTATAAGGCTTATATTATTATATGTATATTTGAGGTTATGATATGTGTATGTGTGCCTGGTCTTATCATCTCATATCCTTGGTACTTTTAAGTGAGTTAAGTTTTGTTTATCAAAATGTACTTGAGGGTTAAAAGACAACTTACAACACAAACACCATAATTTATTAAGTTCAATAAATTTATGGTGAACTTAAATAGTTATCATAGTCCTGTGTGTGTGTGTGTGCGTGTTTATCTACATGTGCCAGTGTGTGGAGATACTGTGTGTATGGGAGCGGGTAGTTGTCAGGTTTGGTTTATACACGGGTGTGGTTGTGTGCTCATGATTGTGTGAGAGTATATGCATCATAGCATATTTTTTTATCCATGAAAGGGCATTGTCTCATGAATTGAAAAGACAGAGATATTTCTATAATGAACATGACATCATATATACCAGACAGACTGATAAGAAGTTGTGAGCCACTCTTCTTCACATAATGTACTGTAAAAGGATTTACAAAGAAACTTAGTTTTTCTCAGTAGTCACTTTAAGAAGTTGAAGGAATTTTTTACACCTGCTCAGATTGCAGAGGAGCAATTGTCCCATGAATGAAACACCTGCCATCCATTTCTTCTGTATACCAATAGTTGATCCCTCCCAAGCTCTCTTTTACCCATTCCAGTCCCTCTATGTTGAGTTTCTTATTTTATTTGTCCTTCCCAATATTTGTATGACCTCTCACTTATACTTTTTGATAGTGACTAAAATCAGAACCACTTAACACTGGATACGGTTGCTTACTTGGTTAAGACTGCACTTGTTAATCTTACATTGTTATATCAAGTTATTGTTTCCATTTCCCATTGTCATAAATTTTGTCAGTCAATTATATTCTAATATAAGCCCAACTATATCTTCTAAGTCCATAAAGTAATAATTCATAATGCAAAATAAGGTCAAGGATCATTCCCTAGAGGATTCAAGATTTCTCATTTAAGATTTGAATTTAATTTTCTTTTTCTAAAGTGACATTAAATATTGTTCTGAGGATTAAAAGATATTGCAGCTACATCCCAAACACAGTCAAACTTTTGGTCTCAACAACAGAATTATAAATTTTGTTCCTGTGCCTCAGAATTATTTTTTCTTTTAGTCAGTACAGTATTGCGAAAAGTATTATTTTTCCATCATTAGTCTTCTACAGTACTTGCATTTTAAACTTGTCTTTATTCTATTTCATCAAACCTATAAATTATTTTTCCAAGGGAATTCTGTCAAATTTAGGCATTGTTAAGTTTAAAATAAAATTTGTTATTTTAAAAAAATATTGATAGAATTTTTTTTTTTTTCTTCAGGGGAAAATCAGTTTTGCTGAAATTATTTTTATGGACCAAGATATAGGTAATCCCATCACAGTATTTTCCACAAAGTATGATGCACTGACAGCAACTAGTCTCCCGCCAAGAATCCTGTGTAACCCATCAGTGTTTAGACAGTTTGTATGTACCTGGGTAGAACATATTTAACCAATGATTTATTTTATTTATTCATTTTTTTATGTAACATACAATTGCTTGTTTTTAGCCATATACTTTTGTTTCATTGATACAGCAAGTTCAGGTTATTTTCAATCCATAATCCTTTTTGTCAAGTGAACCTTTTGCATGGCATTTGAGAATTCCTATATCTAGTGATATTTTTTTGTGACAGCACAAATAGTAATGGAGTATATTCCTCTCTAATGTAACACTGGAATTCTCTGGCATGGAAATGAACATATTTTTTGTGAGTATGGCTAATTCACACACCCCATATTTTAATATAAGCAGCACTTTTTTATTTGATGAGGAACCTGAGTGTTTTATAAATCCAAATCTGGATGCATGATCTTAAGAAGTGTGGTAACTCAGTGTAAGGACTGCAGTCCCTTCCCTTAGAGATACGACCCTTTTCCTAGAACTTTGGACCTTATGCCCTTACTCCATAAAGACCTTAATGTGGCACCCAGGAGGAGGTGGCATTATTGTGGCAGAAATGGAAAAGGGTGGCCGATGATTACTAAACATTTTGAAAAGATACCCAGTGTGAACAAAGCACAAGTCAGTAATCCTGATAATCATAAAATGTTAAAAGTGTTGAACCAGAAAAGATATTACAGTGTCCGGTGAGATAAATATTATTTACCATAGAGGTAAAGTATCACAGAATATATATACAGTATATATATATATATATATATATATATATATATATATATATATATATATATGTGTGTGTGTGAGGGGAAAACCACTGTGAAAAGAAAATATGCAGAGCTGTTTGCAAGGAAAAGGAAAGACCAGTGACTGAAGGGCAAGTGCATAAAAGTTGACAAAGGCCCAATTTCTCAGTCACCACTTGAGAGACTATTGACTGAGGGTCCACTTCTTTAACCTGATTGATAAACTAAATGTCAGTTAGTTGGTTGAATTGATGACACTCACATTACTTATTCTCAAGCAGTGATTGAGAAATTGGCCCAAACTGTCAAAAAAAGTGCAAATTTGTTGATTAAAAGCTTTATATTTAATGTTGATTATTGCCATTATTTTAGTGAACCTGTGAACCTGTATACTGTTTTATGGGTTTGGAAGGAGTGCTTCATGTTAGTGTGAAGTGGACCTGAAGTTTATTATGTGGTAGAAATACCTTCTCTGTTATGTTGTTGAAATGGACTTTTGCTGATAATTTTGTTCCTTTATATTATTACTCTTGATATAGCCCAACTTTATCAGGTATACAAACTATTAACATTCTTTATCAGTCCCGTTTGTTTCATATATAGTGTTTAAATGTCATAATAAGGAATAACCCGTTGTGTTTTGAATGCATTTAGCCCACAGTGAAGTCAATTTGAATCTCGCTTATGAGTGAAATTTTGGGGTTATCATGGGATTGAAGGTTAGATTAATGACTACTTGACTTGTGTATTTTACTTCCAGTTTGGTTTCGGCCATGTCTGCAGTACAGTACAAGAAAATCTGAAACCAGTACAGCACAGCAGTTTCAATTAATGTCACAAAATATTAAGAATACAATATATATATATATATATATATATATATATATATATATATATATATATATATATATATATATATATATATATATATATATATATATATATATATATATATATATATATATATATATATACACACATACATACTGTATATATATATTATTATTTTTTTATGATCCTGTAACAATAAAAAGTTGGAATTTGGGGTTTTAGTTGTTGCAGTTTTAAGTTGAATTTAACTTATTGGCATATTTATTATATGTGTAATGTACGTTGTTTATTGAGATTGTTGAAGGTCGTCCTTTTTATATGCAATAACTTCTTTGTCTTTTAATTTACGTGAACTTAACCATTGGGAAAGTCAAGTAGGCATTACTAGGGAAGATGGTTGAGTTTGGGTACAGTGCACTGTTAGAGGTTCCAGTATTCTCTTTATGACAAATAACCCATTCTGATCTAGTCCAAAAATCTGTGAAGATGAATGGTAGAGCATTGCAAGTTGTCCATTATTTGTGTTAAAAGACCAGATAATGATCAAGAGAAATATGATAAAAGTATTTGATACTAAAGCAGATTACACGCAGTGCACTGAATCTCGATTGTCTCCCCAATGTTTGTTGGAACAAAGGCAGACTGAGCTAAGAAAAGCCAGAGTTTCCATGGTAAGTGTGGCCCTGTATTATGGAATGCCTTATTTGTAATGTAGCCAGCAACTCATGGGTCACTGACGGTTCATCCTGTGGGTTAACCAATGTGCTCATGGACGTCAGCCCAGGTGGATAAACTGTCAGAGATTCATGTTGATCAATAACAGTTATGTAAATTTAGATTTTGAATGAAATGATTTGAGTTGATTTAGAATTATCTTATTTCAAATATGCCTGTAAATTAGGCCGGAATTGCTGATTTTCTAACAAATAGGGCCCAACATAATGGGTTGTGATTACCACAAAGCTCGGCTCATTACACCGCCACAGTACAAAAGAGGTGGGCTGAGACAGGCAGAGTCTACCTCACAATGTTTTGGGTCACTCAGTATAAACTATAGACATGTTCTGGCAGCATATACGGTAAACAGAAATTGTACCAAGCAATCTTTTGAGTTGTACAAACTTTATCTGTTCAATTTGAAAAACAATATCCAACAGAATGTCAAGATATGCCGATGAGGTGAAGCCATGGACTATTTGATTTGTAAGGTATTAAATGTTGTTGGCAAATTTGAAAAAAAAAGGTAAACAGGTATAAACAAATATAATTAAGTAATGTTTCTTTAGTGCCTATTGTTATCATCCTCAAAAGATGATGAGGTAAAACATTATTGTGTGAATATCTTACAGAAATTTATTGAAATCCAGTTTAGTGTTAATTTTTACCCGGTGCAGTAACTCACTGTATTACTATTAGACTATGCTTCCTACTTGTTGGCCAAAGACACACCATTAGTAAAGATAAGTTAACTAAAGTCCTCCAGTACATTTACCTATACAGTACTGTACTGGGAGTCACACAATCAGCTATGGGCATGTTAGTACAGTTTAATGTCTTCTTTTATTATCATTTGTATTGTGCAACAGGCAGTAAGGAAGTCACACACAAGCAAAAGTTTTAGTTGAAAGTTTTATAATAAAAATTTGCTACTTTTGTAAGAATAATTGCATAAAAAAATTCAATTTCAAAGGTTTAGAAAAAAAAATTAAAGAGGTTAACAGTATGCAGATAACTATTATCAATGAAATATTCTTGTCAATTTTTTTTGTAGATAAGACAAAATTAAGAAAACTTATCTGATCAAGTATCTGCCTAGCACTTGCATCTAACAGTTTCTCTCATTAAAACTTTAAGGTGTATAGTACAGTCATTGTCATCACTGGTCCACACTTATGGTAGAAATATAACCTAAACTCAATTGACTTACAGTTCAGTATATACAATTACTGTGCAGAGAAAAATAAGTTTTAATTATAATGTTAATTTTGTGTGGGTAAAATATAGCTGAAAGAACCAAAATTAAGAGAAATTATATGCAAGGACTGAGTAATAGATACTAAACAAATTATTGAATAACCAAAATCACACTATGAAACACATTAAACTTATATTACTTAGAAGCCATAAATTCCAGCATCTCGGTGATCTAGAGAGATTTGAAATGTCTGAAGTTAAATCATTTTTAAATTTGGAAAAGGTTTTCATAATTACTATTAAATGTAACTTATTGAAATTGGCTACATTATTTGTGTAACTATTTCATGATTTCAAGGTTTTAACGTCCTTTATGCTGTATTATGTATTGTACTGTATTCAGAAGTAACCAATGTTTTACATATTTATTGTATTTCACTTGCTGTTACAAAGTTAAATGGAAAAAGTGATAATAAAATAGAGAATATTGCTAAAGAGTGAAGTGACTGGAGGATTTACTTGTTTATATCACACAAAGGGGGTTGGATACCTTACAAATTAAATGCCACTTCACTTCACCCTCCCCACAGTTGCCCATTTGTATCACCTTCCCTCTCCAGCAGATCAAACACAGTGTCATCACAGTCTTACGTAACTGCATTTAATACCCAGTAATAATTATAAAAAATCATCATTATTTCAAACCAAAATCCTAACCTATTCCTTACCTCCCCAGTCTAACCTGCTGCATTAGCAAGGATTAGCATGAATATACAGATAGAGGCATGCAATACAGTGTCGCAGAGTGTTGCAGATTAGCACGGTGATGACATACGATGAGATATATCAGTATGTGGCAAGTTAGCAAAGAGAATTAACTATTTATCGTGTTTCAATAAAGTTTCTATCTCAAGTGGTGTGATAGGAAGGTATTCTTTATTGAAATAGGAAATAACCTCTTTGCTTGTTATGCTGCATTTTACTGTACACATCCCAATACAATGATGACCCCATTTACTGGTGTCTGACCTGTCCTTACAACCTGTACATAGGTATAGAATAAAATTATTACATAGATATCCCGTTTCTTTTTGTACCTTGTGTGAATAAAGACAGAAGATTAAGCGCGAGATCTCCTTTTGTAACCAAGCCTGAACAAGGATGGAACTAACACAAACCCAAAATGATTCATAACTGGAACCAATCACATGATAGTTAAATTTCCTTCAGAAAGGTAAAGTAAAATTTATCCCATATACTAGCAAGAGGATAATGAGTCGTGATGCCACAGAAGCCATTCAGATCATGCCTCTTACCTCAGGCTCTGCCATAACCTGTCATTCAAGATCAACTTAGACTATCATTACTCACTAGGCTGAAGGATAACTCAATCCCCTAGTCAGGGTTGGTCAGAATATGGGATTTCAGGATTAATCCTTCCCTTGTGACCTAACACTTGAACCAGGCAATTCACTCTGATAAATACACAAGCAGGCACAAGTACCTAACTTACAAACTCCCCTTTAAGACACAATACATCAGTGCAGTTCCTAGCCTAAATAGTTGTTAACTCATTACAGTACATCCAGAGACTAGGAGCCTCTTTGTAGGACTGACTGAATGGATGACTACCTCAGGAAGGTCAACAACAATACAATGTCCCTAAGATCATGAGCCCATGCGGTACAGCCTGGTTGAATCTGGTAACTCATTGATTTGATCTATGATCCAATATTAATGCTTGCTGATGAAAGTGTTCTAAAATCTAAAGAACTAACTGCCAAAAGTGTATCCTGAGAAAGATAACAATTATTCTTGGCTTTCCCGACTACAAACTGAATGTATTTAGTCCTTAAGAAAGGTGTCCCATTATTTGACAGAATCCTAGACTCATATTAAGGCTTTGCTCCATCTGAAAAATTAATAGAAGTTAGAACTTCTCAGGCCACAAAGCCCCACAATCCTCCTCCTGGACAGTTGAGCTAACAGGAAAAAGTTTCAAAAGTATTACCAAATGCCACACCTCCACTAAGAAATTCTAATTATAAACTAGAAATCTAAAAATCAATCTAAAGGAGCAATTAACTAATAACGACCTTATGAGCATTTTAACCAAGAAAGGTGGCCAAAACAAACCAGCTTAATTAAGTACCGGTAAAATAATAATAAGCTCATTTGATGGAGTTTTCACATCTAACGAACCCTCGATATAACTTGACTTTTAACTCCATATATATATAGTCTGTTATAGAGGCTTTACTGTACACCACTGAGTAATGAAACACATCTCTGGTTATAACTAAGAGGAACACTTGTATCAATCATATTTAGATGGGGTAAAGAAAATAGCCAGTACTATGCGTCTGTATTACAAATGGATAATACTTTAAAATTAACACTGTAACATGAATCCCTATTAAATACAACACAATCATATACGTACCATAAATAATCGAATCTCAATGTACATAAATTACACTTAAATATCATATACAATTAGGTCAAATAGATATTTATATACTGTACACATATATATATTTATATATTTATATTTATACTTAATGAAGTTCAATCTTATACAAATATTATTGCTCCTATTAGCTAAAAATTCTACAAAAGTACATAAACAAAGTCAGGTAGAAGATGGATTAAGACTGCAGAAATTCTCTATTTAAACTACATTACAGTATGTATCTACAAGTTCCTTAATGGTTACTCTCAAGGTAGTCAACACCAAGTTTTGATATTAATGATACAGTACTTAGTCATGGTTAGTAGAGACATGCAAGTGAAACATTTCATTCTCATCTTAGGTTACAGAGTAATCACAGTTGTTCCTCATAAATAAGATAAATTTTCACATAGAGTTAAGGCTAGTCACTCCCTTACAATGACTAAAATTTACATCTCATATTAAACCCTTGTCTATGGGGCCCCCTCTGATCTCAATAAAATCATCTGACATAAGAGAAACGAAATGTTAAAAGTGGCGTCCCGTAGTGAAGGGGTAACCAGTCTCGCCTTGTGTCAGCGAATGTAGATGGCAAGTCGGTACAGTAATAGCCATTAGCTCTGTTGTCAATATTATTCTTTACAAGGGGATGATGATGATGTTCTTACATATCTTAACAGTGTGTAATTAAAGTGGTCAAACTGTGTATAATATCTGGTTTATAATTTTAGTAACTTTACTAACTTTTATTAACTCCTCTCCCTCTTGTATCTCTATAGTGGTTGATGGGGAAACAGAAATAAATAATTGGGGAAGATGAGTGGAAGACAAGTGTAAGGACAGAGGCAAGACACTGACACAGTACACTGACCAAGACGTTCTTAGTCTCTTTTCACAAGGACGAAGAGCAACAAGTCACCTTGGAGACAAAACTGGATGTACATACACGCTCCAAATAGTATCTTGACGATTTTGTGTTAGACAATATGACACAACGGACGAAGGATTTTGACAATCCTACCAAGACAAAATGAATCGCGGCATTTGTATTGAAATTCATCAAACCCCGCCATAAAGATACTTTTTGGAGTGCGTGTATACTATAGCTACTGGATTGTGGTGTGAATATGCGTGATATCTGTACCGGGAGAGACATAGGAAGCTGTCTGTCCCCTCCAGCCATCAACTATTTACACCTTTAAACAATAATGCTTGACCAACAAACAGCATTCATTTTTAGATCTGGTAGGTACCCCTGTTAAGTGCACTAAAATAATGTTCAATCTTTGATAGGTTTGGTCTTAGGGTCGGAGTGCATCTAAGTTTATACCGTGGGGTTTAGGGTCAAATATATTTGAGCTGGAACAAGTCTCAGCTTTTAACATGGGATCCTATGGGAACGCGGGTTCTGTTGAATAAGAATTCACCTATCGTTTATCAAGTGGGACTTCCCTGTGCTGCATACACAAATATACATATACTGTACAGTACTGTACTGCATACAACTTATTCCTCAAAATCACTAGGGACAGTGACAAGTGACAGCACAGCCACCTGATCAGTTGCCTGTTGTCCAATCCCTCCTCACTTATTCTCTTATACGAAATACAGTATGTGGAAACTATATAAAGAAATTTATTTTGTGTTCTTATATTTCATATGTTAATTATGTACAATAAAGGTTGCAGAGTTGTAAGAGAAAGTGTGGAATTTAGAAGTGATTGCAAGTTTGGAGGTGTGGATATTGATGGCATGACTGTAGTGTAAGCTGACTGACAGCAGCATGCACTATGGTAATTTAGGATGATGCAATGATCCATGAGTTGTCTGTGGGATTGTTTTTCTCATAAAAAACATACTGGTATTATCAATAAATATATTTATTATAGATGTTGGCTCAGTGTTTCATAATGTTCAATTAATTTAAAATCTCATCTGATTTCTCATAAGTATACAGGTATAAAATCATTACTATACTGCACAGCATATACAGTACAGTATTACACTTATTATATTTACCATTGTCTTATAATAAATGTGTACATAAAATTTTTTAAGACATTTGGGAAAGTTTTTTCATAGGAACATTTCTCAGTTTTGTAATGGGCGTTTACCGTATGGGGAATTTGATCCAATTTATGAAGAATTGATTTGCAAAAGGTTTTTCAAGAATGGAACCCTTTTGTAAATAGAATGCCTGTATGTACTGTAAATTTTTTACATATTGTATTTGTAATTACACACAAACATACAAACTAATAAGGATTTTGTCCTCGATGATGTAAGTACAGTACCAAATAAGTACCTAGATACTGATGGCCATAATATAATGCTACTACAAATAAATATTATACTGTACATGACAGAGAGAGTGAAAATACTGTACTATTTTATAACTCCTTTATACTTGGTGTTATGGTTAGCTACTGGTTAGGTTTAGCAGGAATTAGTTAGGTTTTATTAGTGTTTACTGGGTAGTACAAAACTACCATGTGTTTGTCATGCCTCTAAACATACACCTTCTTGTAACAACTACAATACTGTATGACCACAATACAACAGTAACCTAACCTCTATATGTTACTGATTTTCACTTCAATGACAGGAATTAATATAACTGTACTGTTTTGCATTAACTACTGTATGTGGGGTAAGTCATAAATAAAGATTACCTGATATATGGAGCTCAACTCGTAGTTCACCTCACACGCTAACAGTCAGCACTGTGATTTCCAACCAGAGTGAAGAACTGGATCCCTCCTTCTACACCAGCCTTTGTGCACTCAGCAGTAAATGAGTGCACTACTGGGTGTGTCCGTCAATGGTGGAGCTACCTTTTAACGGACTAACATCCTACCAGGGGGCGAGATAACCCAATATCAGCTGAATGCTTAAAATCGGGGATCATTATTGTCTGGCCAATCTGCAGCACATCAGGGACTGTATGCATGAGGAGAAATGCAGTGTACCTTAAATCAATAAGGTTATTAAACTGAATTCTCATCAATTGGGACTTTACTGTATACTGTACTGTAACAGTGGATTGTTTATAGAACTTTTTTTTCCTTTCATAAGAGAAGGTTAGTTAATTGACTGAGCAAGAAGCATTAAAAAATTAAATGTAGGTCAGGCAAGCAAGTTTTACAGAAAACTATAGTGTATTGATCAAACATTTCTGATACAAAAGGAATATGGATGAGAAAACTGGTATGGGCATGTGTAGTACAGTATACGGCAAGTGGATTAAGGATATTCAAGACAAGATGGTTAAAGGTGTGAGATTCAGATGAAGTTTGGAAAAAAGATGGACACTAGGTATAGAGATGATTCGGTGAGGTGAATAATGCTTTGTGTAAGTACTGTATCGATAATAATGAACTGATATGAAATATCATAATCAACATAGAAATTAAAGACTCAATTTGCATACTGTACTTAGATGCCATATGAAGATACCAGGAAGTGCATGTAGTAGTATTCCAAACTGCTAGTTGAGAACTTCCTGTCACTTTCTGGCACAACACTTCACAACCACTTTCTGCCTTTCTTGAAGTTTCTGTTTCTCATCCATAAAAAAAAGAGGAACAGGAAAAACTAAATATAGGAACACAGTATAAAATATTATTCTAAATTTAAAGATCACCCAAAAATCAAGTAATGTGGAATAATGGTAAAAAATGACCCAATTTTTCCCCCAACAAGACCCATTATGACTTTATAATTGTAGGAAGAGATTATTGCAATATATAAGTACTGACAGTTTCAATGGGGAAGGAAAGGGTTTATGATACTGTATCCTCCTCTGGGACAAAGGGCTGATTTTCCGAATGTGATGGAGCAGGAACAAAGGAATGGCAGGGTAAACACCTCACCATCCCGTATGTTAAAAAATGGATCATTCCCTTGCTCATTTCACCTAATATTATCCACCTTAAGGCAGGAAGCTTTTGCCTTTGGTTCATTTTCATATAAAGACCATATATTGTATATATAGTACATAAATACAATATGCAAATATTTAAATAAAACATTGCAAACTATTTACAGTAACTTTTCTCACTCTTTCAAGGTGGTCAGAGATAAGAGGAAACTTCCCCTCATTTGATCTCTTTAAATGCCATAAGAGTCAGTAAGTTTGAGTCATAAGCTGCCTTATACCCAAATGCTGTACAGTAATTACATTATAACTTGATACTGTATAATGAACCTCATCCCAGTACCTAACCTTCTCATGGTTTAGAAATTCTCAATGTCCATAATATCTTTCTCACCAACTACAATAGATATGAAACATTTAGTGAACTGAGTGTGATAACCCATCCATAAGCTTCAAAATTTATTTGATATTCTTTTCTATTTAGTATGAGGAATTAGAAAATGCTAAAAAGAGCCTTTAAAACTTTGCTGAAAGACTTAAGTTTAGATTTTTGTTGAATGATTCCTTGTCTATTGAATATAAAGTGTTCAGCTGAAGCTTAGAGGGATCAGTTCTCTTATATATAACAATGATGTAGAGTATTAGGTAGCACAGTACAGTCCTCAGACTAAGTACCAGTACAAGTGACATAAATCACATGTTAGATGAAGACACTTGTTATGTGCACACCTTAAGTTCAGATCAGTAGCTAAAATATATATAAACAATACTATCTACACACAGTATCAACCTTACTGCCATGTAAGAGACACCCATCTAACTTAAGCATCAGATCTGAGGTAAGAGAGTTCATCTTGAAATAAAAGACTTATGCTTCTTTCATCGTGTCTAACCATTCATACTTTATAGCTCCATAAAATCAATAAAACATAATAACTTAATAAATTCATCTAATTAAAAAACAAAAGGCATTAAAACACAACTAAATCATTCACAGAATTCTTTAACAAAATATATGGTGTTCAGCTTGTAAAAACAAGGACCGGTTTATATTACTGGTTAATACTATACACTTATGATCGGTTCAGTACAGTATATGACATTGTGCCTAAGACAGTACAGTATCTTCCTTCAGGTTACACAAACTGAGAGGAAAATGCATCATAACTGTGTGTCGCAGAAAGATTTGATGCCTGACCAATATCAACCTGTGTTGCTGTGTTGGCCATTACCAAAAGGGGATTTTCCTGCTCACATTCATTTACAAGACCACTGTCATCTTCTGATGACTTACCTGTTAAGACAACTTCCACCCCAGAACCAGTACCTCGATCAGAAGCCACGGTGGCTGTACCCTGGTCAGGGTTAATAGGAGTAGTGTCTAGGGTAGCAGAGTCGGCTATAACTGCAGGCAGGTCATCGGTGGTGGTGGGCACCTGATAAGTGACGTATGTCCAACTGTGAGGGGAAGTCCCAAGGACTGATCCACTACTTGTGCTAACACATCCCCCTTGGAGCATCTGACTGGGTAAAATTTGTCCAGGTACGAGTTGATTTGACACCAGTTGGTTCGACACTACGCCAACAGGGTACAACGTACCGACGCTAGTGGTACTGGGCATAGGTGCTTGGCTAGTGTAAGTTCTATCATGGCATAAAGGAAGTTCCCCTTGATAGTTAGAAACAGAGGTAGTGGCATCTACAAGGTGTACACTCACGCCCCCTGGGCGAGCTATACCTTCCTCAAATTTTTCCCCATCCAAACTACTTGAAAAATCAAGCTTACCACCCTGAGTATACATGTAGTGATTCATCGTTTCTTCTGGCAATCCTAACGAGGCCGCTAAGCTATTGGCCACAGTCGACAGCGCTTCGGCCTCAGACGACGACTGACCACCCATACTGGTCAATGTTTCACACATCCCCTCTACATTTAATTCCCCTTGTTCACCATCCACTGATATATTTGTTTCTGTAAGTTTAGGAGTCTCACTTGAAGTTATAGGTACTCCTTCCTGCTTACCACTTGCTGTCTGCTCTCCTGCTACTTGTACTATGGTCTGTATAGCTCTATGGCTGGACTTACAGTGAGCTTTGAGATTATATGAGCGAGCAAAAGTAAGGGGACAGTGTGGACACTTGTGACTAATACTGGGCTTGTTCTGACAAAGTTTAGTCTGCATGTGGCCTTGAAGTGCTCCAAATGAACAAAATGCAACTCCACATACAGAACAGGTGTAGGTGTCAGCATTAGCATGCTGTGAACGATGCTTTAAAAGGGCAGCATCATTTATGGCTACGTGGTCACAGAGATCACATTTTGGAAAGGTTACATTTCTGGGTACTTTATTGTGTTCGGTATACTGGTGATACGCTAACTCTAACTTTCGCCCAGGTCGGAAACCACACACACTACACAGCCGAGCTTCGCTCTTACTGTGTACATCTTTCATGTGCTGTTGATAACTACAGTAATCACTAAACTCTAATGGTTCATTCAAGAAACATGTGTAGCAGGCATATGGTACATTCTCAATACTAGCTAATATAGCACTACTCTTTTCTTTGTGTTCAGTAGATACATGCTTCTTAAATGTAAAGTATGTTGGAAAAACAATGTATTTACATTCAGGACACTCAAAAGTTTGGGAATTTTGCATTGCACGATGTGAAGTATTTGAGTCCCCTTTTGTGCCAGAACATGAAGTGGCTTTGGAAAGTTTTGTGTTGGGTTTGACTTTAGAGTCACCTTCACTTAAGACCAGATACTGAACTTTGGATTTTACTATCTTTCCACCACCAGCCTTGTCACTTCCCTTTTTCAGAATTTTGAGTCGTATATTTTTCTTGTCTTTAACAAGATTTGGATACTTTTTGAGAACTTCTGAAATAATTTTAGCATGATTAGACATGTCTCCTTTACTCAACTGACCCTGACTAGTAGACTGACTCGTAGAATTGCCGTCTTTTTTGTCCTTAACCTTTTCCTCCTCGTGACTTGGAGATTCACTGACCTCGGAGTCACTCAGAGATAAATTCATCAAGACCTTTTTCTTCAAAGACAAAGTCAACTTCACTGGCGAGTACAAGTTATCATTTGACTTAAAACTCCCGACAGATTTCTGAACCTCAATAAGAGACTGGGCAGGTTCCTTTGCATGAGAATATGTTGCCACCTCATTGATCAGTTCATTGTTTTCATCAAGAGGAAATGATACATGTTTCTTCAATTTATTTGTGTCACTTTTATCTTTTTTCTTTTTAAGTATCGACTTCACCGGTACACTAGAATTACTTATCACCAACGGATCTTTGCTATCGAGGGGAGTATCTTCCTCGGCCACGTGTGAAATCTGTAGTGGGTTTTCTGTTAATGATGTGTCACAATCCACCATTTCCATCTTATAGTCACACGCTACAAACACCTCTTTATTTTCACATTCATTTTCCTCTGAATCTCTTTCCTCAAGTTGTTTACATATACTAGATATCTTTTCCATTAACTCATCACTATCTTTCCCAATGTCATCATCCCCAATAGTGTCATCATCCTCAATTATCAAATCCTGAGCTTTAAGTGACTTTGAATTTGGACTACCAGAAACATCTTCAACTTTTCTGACGTTAATATCTTCCTCCGACTTAGACATTGTACTTTGTTCAACAGATACTACTTGAGTAAGGAGAGAAAATGGATCCTGAGAGTGAGAACTATTTTGAGTCGTGGCCAAACCTGTTAGACCAACGTTGGAGCTGGCAGAAGACTTATATCTCGCTGTACACTGTGGTGCTCTAGGAGTAAAATTGGATATATCAAGAGGATTTGGAGACAGTGACTCTGTAGAGGTAAATGAAGTGGTGCAAGACGAGATACTGCCATCTTGGCTAGGAACACAAGTGGCTACAAAGAGGGGTGATAATGGTGGACTTTTGGATGACCAAGTAGCTATTGTCACAGAAGCATTTTCAGGGTCTTCTTCAAGTTCAAATCTTGTTGGTCTAGCCTCTTCAACTGGTCTTTTGCGCCTGAAAAAGTAAACATTACATATAAATATACAGTATACGTATACAGTATACGATTTCTCTAACTATGTACAATGAAAGACAAAAGTCATGTCGCGGTTTTGTCTGAAGATTAAATATAACTCGTGAAACATTATGAGAGCCCTACCACAAGGCAGAGCGCACCAAAGGTTTCACGACACGACTTTTGTCTTTCATTGTGCATTCGCTCCAAAAAGTATCTTTACGATTTTGTGTGAAACAATAAGACAGTGGACAAAGGATTTTGACAATCCTACCATAATGATACTTTTTGGAGTGAATTTACAGTACTCAGCAGTGTTATGTTTTCAAGTGAAGGGTCATGGATTGGATTCCTGACCAGGGTGGAGGATTCGACTCCCTCCTTGTACACTCGCTAAAATAACTATCTGTGCAGGTGGGGGTCGATATGCTCCGAAATTTTACGTGTGACTAGTGACAGCCCTCATATACCAAAATTTATCGTCCATGGTCTCATATTGTTTCCCACAAAGTATGCGCAGATAGTTATTTTAGCTACTGTACATATCAAGTAGACCTGTAAATGGAGAAAAAACCCTTCAGTGGACTAGCATCGTGCCAAGGGTGTGAGGCAAATCACTAACTGTTTCCCACAAAACCAAATCACCCAGATCTTTTTCACATCATCAATATCAAGAGTGGATTAGAGAAAGTGTCTCAAGTGTGAAGAAAAGATTACTTCAAAATGATAAATGTAACAGATTTGTTGAAATTACACCAACTAAGTGAGGCTTTGCACGAGACACATGCAGTGTACTGAAATAACACATAATGGAGTTAAACATTATACACGTTGAAATGTTCGCCACATCTCTTACAAATGAAGAGTTAATATACAGTATTGCATATCCACTGACCTGACAGCAGCATTAGCTTTTGCTATCTTCTGACTGTTGGTCACCAGCAAATATACTGATCCATCCTGCCCTTCATCATCCTCTTCCCCCTCCTCATCCTCCTCTACTCTCACACTACTACCTGTACCTGCAAATATAAATAATATAAAATTCATAACACACAATAAATAAATAAAAAATTCTAAATACTATGCGAGTTATAAATATTTAAGTAGTGTATATAATTGTTTGGTGTGTGTTAATGAACAGTACCTATGACAACTACTACAGAACAAAACTAACAACTACAGTACGTATATATATTACCATAGGATTCATCATTGTCATCATGATCAATGTTTTATGGACATTTTATGAAATCAAATCCACTAAAGTGTCACCTTCTGCTGTGTCTTTTATATTAGTCACTTCTCCAACTTCTCTTGAGGTCCCAGCTGAGGTATCTCCTCCATCAGTAGTGGATACCTGACGGACACTATGAAATGCGTCCGCAGGAGGCACCACCCTTTTACCTGTACTGGCAGTCTTGTTGGAGACCTTTGCTGGGTGTTGCTTACTAAACCTTAAGGATTTTTCAGGGCTTCTCTTCCATATGGGTAACCTGGGAATATAAATGCTTGATAAAACTTTAAAATGTATTACAGTACCCCATCAAATGTAATAATATTAATAATTAACAATTTATTGAAACAATATGCCAACCAGAGTGGTGAAAATATACAATAAATAGAGATAATAAAAACTACATATGGTGAAAGAGGGGAGTGAGTTACTTGATTGACAAAAGCTTTCAGTACAAAAAGATAAGAAACATAGAGTGATCATATAGATTAACTACAGGTCTGATACTGGGGGAGCTCAAGCACAACTTATATTCCTTCATGTGCACACCTTTTTAATTGATATACTGTACTCACTAAACCTCATCTTCAAGTACTGTATGTACACTATAAGGTCTTCAGTCTATCTCCTACTTATCCAACTTACATTCTCAAGTCACCTTCCCAGATCTATTCCTTCCACCTGTCTATACAAACCTCAAGATTTATTTATTCTTATAGGTCTCAGTAATGTTTTCCAATACCAGTACTGTACTGTGTGGCCTACCTACCTCATTCCTCACTTCACTCATAAACTGACTAGAATTATGACAATCTTACACGAGCGATAAAATTAAAAATATTAAATGACATTAAGACCGACTTATGGAGACAAGAATAACACTCTTAATATAAATATCATTTAGTGGAAAAAAAAAATAGATGTGTCAATAAGTGAAAACCAGCACCATAATAACAAACCTCGTTTTCACACGATTTGAAGGAGAGAGATATGGGAAGCGCCGATCCATCAGCCGAGTGAGGGGTGGCACCTGAAGCCTCTGTGCAGCAGCGTATATGCCACTCACTTCATTACGTGTTCCCTGAACGTCCAGTCTTCCACTATACAAAAATCTGAAAATTTAAGTTTGTTGTTTTATTTAAGGCTTTTAAAATATGCAATATTGTTTAGTACTGACCACCCCAGTTCTTATCTATCTAAACGAAATTACACCGAACACATGCTGTCTGTAAGTAATGTATGAAAATTTATCTTTAGTTTAAAAATTTTGCTGAATAAAATTTTTTTGTCAGCAATATATGATTTGGAGTTTCTACCAATAAAGAAATGGTTAAGTATTAAACAAATCCCTTGACACCTCAAAGCCACTGTACACTACTATATGCTGTACAGTCAATGCCATTACAATATGGAGTCTTGCCCATTCACTCTTATACAGTACACACTTTCTTATTCTATTACACATAACTAGCCTTCTCATTTAACTTTACAGCAAGTATCTAAAAATAAACAATACAGGCCAGGGGTCATTCCTCGGCATCCGGCATCACACTATGAAGAGACGATTTACCTTCAGAAGTTTGAGGCAATTTCACTACTGGTTGCATCTACTGTAAATGAGAAGGCTGTAACAGAGATCAAACTAATTATTTCTTGGAAGTCATAAGGCTCTTTTGCTGTGTGGTAACTAGATCATCCTCTGGCCGAGAGAAACATTACCATCAATCAATACGAATCCATAATCTGTCAAACTTTATGTGAAAACAAAAGAAACACTGTCAGTGTATTCCAAAGGAAGCCACTAAAGGTAGAGCACTCTGTATGTTTCCTTGTTTGCTAAATTAATACAGCTACATTCAATAACATGCCTCCAACCATAAATTACTGGTACAGTACAGTACAGTATATGTTACATCTTACAACAAAAGTTATGAGTGACTTCAAGATGTTTTGATTTGGGGATAATTCTACCCCAGTGTCAGACCAATCACAGTACAGGATTAATCAGAGTTTAATAAATCAACCCAAAATACAGACACAAAACATTTAATTATCTACCTGTACTTGATTTCATCAATGCCAAAAGAAATGTGTAAAATTACTGTATGTTTAATTAATGCCATTTCTCTTTTCATTCCCCTTGACTTTATTCAGGTGGAAGCGATTCAGTTGTGGGGGAATAACTTTACCTTGTGAGTGGCACTTTGTCCAAAGATCCATAAGCACAGTGATATTTTGTAGACCTAAGGTAAACTTTCATCATGATAAGATACTCACAACATCAAGGTACAGTACAGTGTATGTCTCACCTTATAACCGGTCCAACACTTGCACACTTCAGGTCTGATGGCATGACAAACTCCCCTTCTCGCTGCACAAGGTGAGGCTCAGACAATAATGACGTACAAGCCCACACAATAGCACGGTGAACCTAACAATGTGTAACATCAATTAATGTCTGGAGTGTAAATAGGTAGTAATATAAATACTGTAGCTACTACAAGCTATGTATGTAACTGTTGATAAAATATATACAGGTTTGATCCTGTAAAATTATATAAATAAGCCTGAAGGAGGGGGAGTGGGATAGCTGCACACCCAGACACAGGCCTTTTGCTGATAAAAAAATATACATCCCTCCACTGTTGCTTAAGACGAGAGATTTGCAATTATGCTTCGCCTAAGACAAGGGAGTGTAAAAGTCTACAGATTAGAAAGTTAACTGATGATCTAGCTTTGTGATAATGAATTTAAGCCAATTAGAGAGATATAGTAGAAAAAGAATATACACTGTACTTATTCCAAAGGTATCACTGTTTTAGCAAGACGTACTGAAGCCAGAGCAACACTTGGTAGGCTCTAGAACAAGTTGGAAATAAACATCCTCCAAATGGAAAAAAAAAGAAAATGATTACTGTCTATATTACAAGTTCCAAGTCTTTATGACCAACACCAATATTGTAATAAACTGAACTAATGATATGGCTTATATCTAAAACAAACAATCCACTGTACCTTTAATGTTTCTCCAGTGGAGAATTTAAGCACTAGGTCACACTCTTGTTCACGCTCATATAGAAGTTCTAGTCTCTGTAATAGGTACGTAGCCCAGTTGTCCACCCGCAGAAAGTTAGATGCACTGTGGACCCGGCCATTACTTGTTGCCCCGGGGGAGGCGGTGCTAGTAGCTCTCTCTGGTGTGGAACTTGCCAGTGTCGAGCTGCTAACAGGTACTTGAGTATAATCCCTTTCTATCAACAATGACTCACTGTCATCATCAATTTGAACTATAGGTATTGAAGAAGGACTTCTTTGAACCACAGGACGTTCTAACTGTATATTTTTGTGATCCTCTCCATCTCTGCTTGAAGTAAACCTGTTCATGTGTAGATTGTTCTTGTCAACAGTAATCATGCTGCAGGTAGGATTAGATGATACAAAATTTAAAGAGTTATGACTAGAGCAAGCAAATGAGGAGACAGATGATACCAGATCAGAGTAATGATCTTTTTTTGAGTCTGAATTAGCAATGCCCACTGTGAACACTGTTCCTCCAGGTACATCTCTAGTCATATCTGGTAACATTGGAAATGTTGCAATGGGAGTAGGGATAGCAGTAATGGCTGACGTGTTGGCACTCAAATTTGGCATTACTTGAGACACTGGAACCCTGGGACTGCTGACAGAACGTACAGTTTGGGGGAGGGAATGATGGTCTTGTGGCATCTGTATATTTGATGCTATTGTTGCCAAAAGATTGTAGTTTCCTGCAGGGGCCATTTCTGTTTCAAAGGCTTTAAAATCTTCACTAACTGTAATTTTAGATGAATTTTTTGCAATATTTTCTATGAATGTTTTGCTTTCATGAGAAATATCACTAGTTACATATACTGTACATTCATTCTCATTCTTCCACAGGCCATCTTTCTCTACCATGTGTGACTCACAGTTGTCATTATTATGACCTTCATCAGGAAAAGTGTAATTTTTCAAGACCACTTCTTCCCTTTCCGGTAAACTGACTTTAGCTTCAGGGGAGAAAGTAGAGCTTTCCGTTTTGTCATTATCTACACCTTTACCTGTATCCTCTTCCTTTATCTTATTCTCTTCAATTTCATCAACCTTGCTTGGCTGATCACACAATGAAGATTTAGATCTAGAATTTCTTTTTGATCTTTCATTCTTGTCTTGTATCTGTTTGCTTCCAGATGCATAAGTTTTCTTAACATTACTTGCAAGGTTTTGTTCTCTCTTTGAAGTTGGTACATTGACCATAGGGCTGGTGCTGATACTGTGATCCCACCCAGAATCACGATTTGAGTTTCTGCGCAAAGTCACAATTGATGTTGTCATCTTACACACCGGGGTATGTGTAACAGAATTTCCTGATAACTTTGTACTCCCACTTTCACTGTCAATCTCTGACTTCACTCCATCTCTTGTCTTCTTTCTTCTCTTAATATTTGCAATAACGATTGGAGATTCTTGGTCCTCCTCCCTTTCATTCATCTCCAGACACTCTCTACCTCTTTTTCTCACAGATTTGTTCTTAGCTGCCATCTTGATCTAATCTGAAAAATTTACACCCATATCAATCACTGACTGACAAATATAGATAGTAAAGAACTACAACTACCTAAGATATGCCATAATTTATGACCTTTGATTACCTTTAGAGTGAAATAAAACCTTTCAATACATACTGCCAAATCACTGTAAACTTGTCCTTGTTTTATGATACACTGTAAACTGTGGACATACACAAACATCCGTTTTACATCATCATTAAGTCGAATACGCTGGATAGTTTCAAACATAGGTTGGATGGATATATGAGCAATAGGGGTTGGATGTAAATGGGACTGCCCAGTATGGGCCAATAGGCCCACTGCAGTTTCCTCCATTCTTATGTTCTACATGTTTTAAAGGTATGGGTTAATAATAACCATACCGTCATTTTACTGGGGGGAGATTCCCTCAAGCTTTCTGTTTATCTAGTGCATGAAAGTCTCCCATCCACACACACACACACATATATTATTATTATTATATATACAGTACAGTACTTTATTCAGTCTCCCAAGCCTTCCTAACGCAACCATACAATATACCGGTAAGCAAATCTTCATAAACAGAGCAGGACATGCATAAATAACTACAAACATAATGGCACTAAAACATCCCCTCAACTATAATGATTAGACAAAACGGTGAAAAACTCACATTAACTGAGTGTAGAGTCAGAGTGTAAAAAATTTCCCAACACGCCTCAGCAATACAGTACAGTATTGCAGTGAGAGTTGTCTTGCCGGTGCTTCCAGAGATCATACCAATCCCTGCCCCTACATGCCACACTTAACCAGATGTACTTCCATTAAAGCCAAAACTGTTCTCTTTTATTTTGTCCAACTTTCAGGCAGGTGTAGAGTCTGGGGTAGCTACACATTTGACCTACAGAAAAAAGGGAAATAAATAAAAGATTCTTAGCTGGATTCAAAATAAAATTACCTGTACAGTATACATAAAATACCTGTTGTCATATCTGTCAGAGAAGATATTAGTTATAAAAAATAAACATATTTCTAGAAGAATAATGTAAGTTTCAGAAATATATTATCAAAGTATTAATGCAGTACCAGTCAAGTACAGTAATGTAGAAGAGACCTAAGTCCTTCATCAGCATCTACATCAGGCACCCTAACCTAATCCCCACAGGTAGGGTGCTTAATCCTCAGGTGAAATAAGCTGGGGTGCCAGCTACTAACCTGTTTACATAAATCTGTACACCACAAACCAATACAAGCCCATAGATAAGTCTACAATATATATTCTATGGTTAATATTGGTCTTCCCAAAAAAACAATATAATTTTATCTGTAACTTACATGAAATAAAAGACTTTAACATATTTCACAGACAAATTTATTAATATGAAATATCTCTGCACATATGTAAATTGTAAAATTTGAAATAAAAGAAAAATAAGTGACCCAAAAAAGTAAATTTTAGGCATGTGAACAATAATATAACAACAAAGGGTATGGTAGTGGCTGAGGACAAAGCAGTCACTTAAGACAATACTTTATTATGTTTAATACAACAGGACAAAAAACACAGGGGCCATCAGTCTTGTTGCCAACCTCCCCTCAGAGAGGTTGTCATCACCAACTCATTCTAACCTTCAGGATCTTGTGATGACTTATTTTGATGAGGTCAAGTGATTCTTGTTGGCACTTTGTCATTAATGATTAATTTTGCACAGTTGACAATGTTCTGAAGCTTCATATCGGTATTTTAAATATAATTATCGAAAATTTACATTCGCTTTTCCTTAGTTACACTCCCTCACTAATTTGGTTTACATGCATTGAAACAAACATATCCGGCAGATTCCTTAAAAAAATATACTGAATATTACCTGAAATACTGACCATCTCCATAACCTTAATCACACTGATTTATAATAAAAACAAAAACAAAATGTCAGTCAATGAACCAAGAAAACCATCCACACTTCCTCTCAGCAGCAGCACCACACTAATAACACACCATAAACTTAACACTCTCTTGTATTCTCAGTTACTCAAACAGGTAGACTCACCTCCAAGAGACAACATGGGGATGGAACACAAGGCAGTAAATGTTTAGAGGCTCCAGCAGATGTAAACAAGGCTCCCAACGGCCATGTTTGGTGACAAGGGAAGGACGCCTGCGCCGCCCCCGGGGAGGACTCCAGTAGTAGCCTCAGTCATCTCCTCTTATATACTGTATAGATAGACAGACAAATGTTCAGTAAAATCGTCATACAGTTTAAAATTGGGTTCAGGGTAAAAAAGTAAATTATATATTGTTTTTAGTCGCGACAGGATACATAAATTTGAGTATGTTATTCTAGACTATGTACTGTATTTAGACCATGGATGTCTTGTAAATGTGAAAGGTCTTGTAAACTGTTTCATGTATTGTGTTATGTTTGGTAAAATTGGCAGTGTCAATATGTCACACCCCTCTCACATCTGTCCTGGGTTGGGGATCGAACCCAGGACAGATGTGAGACGCCAGCGCATTACCGTTGTATCATCTACTGTTCCTCCCTCACTATGTAATGAAGGTTCATTATTCGGTGAACAAAATTCACACTAACCCAAATGTGTCGTGGAGTCTCTGAGACCCATTTTATATCACCATATATATGTTGTTTGTATAATAATGCAGACCAAAACAACCTCACGCGTGCCCCTCCTCAGTGACTCAGATCCTCAGGAGGCTGGGTACAATATATGACTAAACTTACTACATATCTCCAAAAATATATGAATTCAATCAAATAAATAGATTCACTAATCTGATCATACCATCTATTCCACTTAAGGTTCAAGTATATAAACAAATAGATAGATAAATGAATATGTACAGAGGTAAGGACTTAGCCACATAAGAAACTACTGTTGATGCTGAGGACCTGGAGGAGGAAGCTGGACTTGGCATCAGATATTGTATGAGAGTTTGTTGTCGATTTATAACAAGTTAGTGTACTCCTGGGTTTGTTTAATATTAATATTTTTTTATTATTCTTTAACTTGCAATGAACGGGTCATTACACATATACAGTATATATATAGTGGACTTTATTGCCTTGTGAACAATTCTGGATATTGCAGCAGTGTTATTTGGGGTGTTATAATTATGATATATTAGTGGTAGTACAACTCAAGATATCAAGCTTGTTTTGGGTAATAGTTAAGACCAATGGCACACTTTACCTACTACTGTATATCACATTTCGGGTATTATTGCATTTTCGCGCTCTTACATTCCTACCCCTAATCTATTATCATATTCGAATAAGACGTCTAATTATCAGATAATTTTCTTCTATTACATTACCGCCGCAAATGTATTATAACGGAGATAGCGTATCCAAAATGTTCTCTATTTTCTTTCTTTTATCTTCCGCCATTATCGCCTACCTTGCCTCCCACACTGTGTCTCTCCTTCATAAATCATCACACGCATGCGTTCCCGTACACGTCACGCGGCCAATCAAAAACGTTTTTTTGGGGGGCAACCAATTAAAATTATTTGTGGTTTAATTCGCTGTATGTTTGGCCCAATCAAATTCGATTTTTATTTTGGGTCTCATATTACCAAATTCAAATTCATTTCCGATCACAGAAGTCTGCGATGAGTGTCACTTCAATTATATGGAGCTGATTGCGAGTTTTGAGGAAAAAAAATAAGAAACTCGCATTTTTTCGATCTCACGGTGTTCTCTCGACCTCAGTAAAGTGTCTTAAGTGCAAGGACTAATGTAAATATCGTCAAGACCAACATATGTGGCGTTGTCCTAACTCATCCCTTATCCCAAAGACAAAGAAGAGACGGTCAATAAGGTAAGAAATAAGTGATTCCATCATATGGTGAGAGTCAGTTAGGTTAGGTTTGGTTTATGTTTTACTAGTGTTTTTTTTTGTGTATTTTGTATTAGCTTAGCAATTATTTTTTCTCGGAAAACGCCCCACAAAAAAAAAAAATCTATGAAAAAAATGGCCAATTTCCGACAGAAATTAAGGTCATAATTGGTCTAAACACACATAAATACACTAGAAAAATATATTTTTTACTTTTTAACAGAGTTGGGTGCGCTTATGCAAATTTACCACATTTCGTTCTGTTGAGTGAAGGTGCACAATAGGTCTTAGGACTGGTGCTGGTATATGTTAACCAGAAACCAAAGAAAGTTCTTATTATGAACACTAATCTATATTGATGTACTACCTCCTAGTGATGAAATATTGACTGTTCCACACAAATTATCACTAAGATGTATTTGTCAACAGCATATCCCCAGTACACATGATGGCAACAGGTAGACAATGCAGATTTATTTATGACAAAAACTGGTAAAACATAATGACAATTCCAAATCCTCATTTTTGGAGGCTATTCATGAGAGAATAAAGAAGTTTTTTCTGGAGATGCTGGCTAACCTGCACACCTTCACCAGAGTATTATCCGTCAAAAATCACCTCTTAGAGAAAACACACAAATGTTGAGACCTCATGACTAAAGTTAACTCTTACCATTCGACGTAACTTTCAGTCTTATTGCATCTCCCCCATGTTTTCCCCGTAACCCCTTATGTACAGGCTCCCCTTTGAGCTGAATAAGACCATCTGGTGTTATCCAAATAAAATATTAAAAACGTTGTCCCTTTAATGAAGGGGTTAACAGGCTTTCTTACATTTTAACGAGCCGATCAGTGGTGAAGAGGTTAAAAGAAAAAAGAAAATTGGCATTGCAAAGGCATTATCACTACAGTAGATCTGAAAATTTTCTCTTAGTGAGTGACATTTGCAGAACAGTTGCAAGACATTGAGAAAGAGAGAAAAAAGAAGTAAATTTTTTATACATTGTATGTACTGTATTGAAATTCCTCTCCATTAATGCTGTGTGAACTTATACATCTTGCTTCACTTACTCCCAAAATGTTTCAGTCAATCCATCACATTACCATCCTTGTATCTGAGGGTTGGCGACCACAGTCCTCCACTCTAAATGTTCTCAGGCTGTATTTACCAATCCTCCTCAGTAAGATGGTGTAAAAGTATCTTATACTGTTTACAAAACTGTCACATTAAAATCTTTTGTTCTCCATTGAAATACAGTAGCTGTACAGCTCCTCCCCGACTTACGACCTACGACCACCCGCACTTACGACCTGCCTCAGTCGTACCAAAATTTTGTCAAATTACGTATTTTCGAGTTCCAACGTCAGTATGCAGACAAAATTTTCGTTTGTAATTCACTTTAAAATGGCTGGCAAGCTTAAAAGTGAGAGTTTTGTGGTGCTGAGAAGAAATAAAGACACCCATTTTAGATTTTCTATATATTATTTAAGCATTTTCGACTTACAACCTGGATTTGGGTCCCTAACCCCGTCGTAAGTCGGGGAGGACCTGTAGTATACAGTACAGTATTCAAAAGTTATAAAAAAGATTCTTTATTCCACTGTGCAGGTGTCTGTTCATCATGGGGAAGAACAAGAGATCAAAAGCATACTACATTCAGTCAGCAAAGAGACAGAAGAAACTAGAAAGTGTTTTGGGCCAAGAGATGACAGGATTCCTGTGTACGTGTAATGACAATGAGCGAGATTGTGTACGAGAGGCATATAACATCCTCAATGAGTTTGCTGACCAACTGTATGGGAAGGAAGAGTTTGCAGGTAAGAATAAAATATTGAGACAGTTGTGGAATGTACTCATACAGTACTAACATTATTACTAAAGTCTGAACCCTCCATCCTTGGCTGTGCCTTTCATGTCAGGGAATATGATAAGTAATAATAGCAGTAAAAACAACTACAGTACTGACTCAGACACATCCGGGTTCTAGTAAGGTATCCAGTGATGTGATGTTTGCTTTGAACAGCTAGAGTGTCATTAGGGTTTCTGGAGTTCAGAATCCTCAATGAATTCTTGCTTGATTCTGAGTTATGTAAAGATTTATTTACATATTTCCAGGATTCTTGTACAGGTGTACTGTAGTGTATTTGAGTTAACATTTTGAAGATGGCACTGCAACAAGTCCGTTGGATTTGTTAAAAAACTTTAGCTCCTCTTATGAGACTCTGAGGAAGCTTCATTAAGAGTTTCCAAGAGAACAAACCTGAATGTGGCGGTGTAATTTGCCAATGAATCCAAGCACCTGGTAGTTTATATCAATCTTGGTGTCAGATTCAGTCAAAAAGCATCAGAAAATGTCCAGTGCAGTCAGCTGTTGTTAGTTCCAAATCCCCTACCTATTCTTACTCTTACCCACAAATGTACAGTAGTTGATTGCTTGCTCTTTCATTCACTTTTTTTGGTGGGAGGGAAGCTATGTTGTTGAAACAGTACACATTAGTCAATCTTGAGTGTTTATTTCTCTCCAGATGTAGATAGTAATTTCTTCTCTTTTGTCACACATGGATCCTCTTTGTCATTACAGATGAACAGCAGCAAGAAACCAGTAATGGCAAAGATTTGAAACACATTGATTTAGAGAAGACAGATAAGACCAAGGAAGAGGGAGATGCAGAACATGATGATAGTGAAACAAAACAAGAAAATGAAGTAAAGACAGATTCTGGGGATCCTCCAGAAAATCAGAAAAGTCTGGGTCCAGCCATTGATAATGCTGGTGATAGTGATGAAGAGGAATCATTGGACATTGAGGCTGCTGTTAAGGTACTGAGGCCAGTATTACTGTACATGAGGGCTAGTGGCACCTTATGATATTGTATTATGTAGAGGGAAAGGTTTTCATTACCATAGCTGAATGAGTATTGCATATAGATATACTGCATGTATTTTTTGTTTTTATTTGTTCACAGGCAAATGTTTTGGAACTTCAGAAGAAAAATGAAGAGAAGCATAAACATCAGCGAAGGTTCCAGCAAGTACAGTGTGGAGCAAAGAACTGTGTGTTCATCCGTACAACATTAAAGGATCCCGTACCTCTCTCTGTTGCTATTATGGACGATATCATCCAAAACCAAAAGCAGCGTACCAAAAGGCTGTTACGTATGATCCCCGTTCAAAAAACATGCAAAGCTTTTGCTGACGATATTGTAAAAGCTGTAGAGAAATTGTCAAAATCTTACTTTGAAAATGAAAGCAAAACATTTTACATAAATATCAGAATCAGGAACAACACTTCTCTGCAGCGTGAATCACTTACCACTTCATTTATCAAAATTATCCAAGATGCAAATTCTGATAATACACCAGAACTAAACACACCGGAAGTTGTTCTTAACATTGATGTGATTAAGAATGTTTGCTACCTTGGCTTTATCCCTGAATATCTCACAAAATATGCTAAATATAACTTGGTGGCATTAGCAAATAAGAAAAAGGAGGAAAATCTAACAGAAGCTAAGACTTGCAAAGACATGGTGGGAAAAGATGACACTGATCACTCAGAGGAGCAGGACCTGAAGACTGAGAAAACATTACAAGATACAGTAAGTCTGGATAAAAAGGTTGTTGTTGACACATAATTTAGTCCTATATAATGGGCTTTACCCCATCCGTCACTGCCATAACATACGTACATTGTTGAAGGCCTTATTTTTATGACACTTTTACACCGTGTCATGTAATAAACATCTTAAGTTCCATTACCTTACATTATCCTTCTCGGGTTATCATTCACAATGCTCTACTGATAATGAATTTCAAGGAAGCATCATGTATACTTGTGTTACTTAGGTCCAGAACACTTTAATACTGTACTTTTATGTTGTAATTGGTAGCTAAATATTAACTACTCCATCCCATGTGTAAAAATGGAATGCAAGGAACCTGAAATATCCAGTGATGATGACCGCTGGTCCCAACAGCTAATTGCCATTGATGATATCCGCCGTCGCTATAGCTAAGTTTCCCTGACAATGGCTACCGGTCTCTACAGCCAGATTTCCCTGTTGATGGCCGCTGTTTAAGGATTAATTTGATCTCTATATTGTGAGTGCACTCACAATTGTTAGTACTGTATGTAAAGCCAGTACTGTAGAACTCCTTGTTGGCTAGTTATCTTTTACAAGGATTTATTGACATTCTGCCATTTATTTCCTAATTATTTTTTACATTCTTATTTTGTATTTGGGGTAAATACAAGGGAATATTTGGGAAAATTTATAAAACAAATAAAAAAATTTAACCTTACAAAACTGGCCATGTAAATAGTGAAGGAATACATGTCCTTACCACCGGTTGGCATCACCGGCTAGGAAGAGTCGAGAATGCTGTGAAGTGTTGTGTGTGCGAGTCAGTGGGATGAGGTTGGCAGTATGAGGTAAACAACACTCATTTGTAGGCAGTATGAGGTACAGGACACTTGTTTTATTATGTTGTTACTATTTACAGTTTATTACTACCTCCAGTAATTGATCATGAATCTGCTGATGGTCAAGACCCCTACTACACTTTCACCTGGTGGTTGGAGGTAGAAATATGTGGTGAGGTGTGTGAAAACCAAGGGCAAGATCCTTACATCACAAAAGCTGAGAATATTGACCAAGAAGTTTGCATCTGTGAGCAAGTGAAAGATAAATACCTAACTAGCAACATAATCCATTAAGGCTTGCATGGCGATTCAAACATTATACAAAATTAAAATACATCATGTCATGCGAATCAAATCCTGGGGGTTAAAGAGGTGGGAGTCACAGCTGCCTTATCACCTTCCTCTCAGATAATCACTGGTACAGTGTGGGATTATTAAATGATACATCTCTCAATTTATATTTTTTTTATTAAACTCATGTCAACAACTTTCCTACTTTCCCCTTTTTGTATGTAAACTTTTCAGATTCAAGATCAGTATGAGAAGACAAATGTAATGATGTGTAACACAGACACTTATGAGTAATGTATAATATGTAGTAACAAGAAATGGAAGTTTCATCTCATTTGTCAAGTTAATGACAACAGGGAAAGTTAATAGTCTGAACTGTATTGTGTTAGCCATTATATATATATATATATATATATATATATATATATATATATATATATATATATATATATATATATATATATATATATATATATATATATATATATATATATATATATTATATATATATATATATACAGTGATCTCCTCCGTTAACGTAACTCAACTGCCCAGAAGGTCGTCGTTAACCGAAAAGTTCGTTAACCAAACCATTGTTCAATGGGTTTTTGGGTAATTGGTTCCAGCTCACCGAAAATTTCCTAAATTCAACAAAAAAGGTAGAAAAGTTCACTTACTTTGAGGTGTGTATGTAGAAGGCTCCTGGATGATGATGATGATGGGAATTAGAATGGGGTGGAGGAGAAGGAAGAAGAGAAGGCATTGGGGTGGAAGAGAAGTCACCCCATGGCACCATTTCACCCATAAAATTTTAGTTCTCTTGGTGTAATTCAAGATTATTTTTTTAAATCAACACTGCACTGCATTATATATTGTCAATATGTAAAATATATTTCAAAATGACCAATAATTTGCTTGGAAACACAGAAAAAAGCATTTAGTTGAAGAGAGTCTCAAGCAAGATGTTACCTCCAGTGAAAACAGAGAGAGACTAACTCCTGTTTGCTGTGTTAAGAGGCTGGATGCCGCGCATTAAACTAGTCACTTTACCTTCAATTATGTTCAATAATTGTTAAAATGACTAAAAATTGAATATTAAACTTTAAAATTATTGAATAGTATAAACTTCTTGATATTTACTAAAATAGTAAGGAATTTAAGCCCTAGATCCGATTAATGTATTGGCGGACTGATACTAAAGCTGGTTGCCGGTCAGTGCAAGCGAAAACATGTTGAGGTCGGTTACGTAAGAACTTCGTTAATCGAATTTTTTTCGTTAACGAATTGAAGATCCTTATGGAAGGCAGTTCGTTAATTGAAATTACGCTAACCGAGGGTCTATATATATATATATATATATATATATATATATATATATATATATATATATATATATATATATATATATATATATATATATATATATATATATATATATATATATATATATAAGTTAATACAACTATGTAAATAAAAAATTAAAGGAATGGCTGAAGCAACAAAATTTGCTTCATAATGACATTAAAGTCCATTATATGTCATCAATATTACATATCTACACTACTGTCAATCATATTGAAAATAGTTTTTCATTATACACACCAGACCTACTGTATATACCAGAAGTATGAAAAAGTTTCCAAATTGTAAAATAATCTAAAGGTACAATACTGTACTGAGAAAGCATACTGTCAAAACTTTATATGTATGAAACTTAGATATAACAATATGACTCTTGGAGCATATACTGTATTGCAGTATCGTTCTCATTAGACCTAGAATTTCACATAAACAGCAAACATTGGCTAGATAACAAGAACAAGTTAAAAGAATAAAAAAGGATATGCTTACTTTACAAAACAAAGAAAATATAATGACCCCAACAGTATGAAAAATAAAATAAATTGGTTACGATAAATCTTTCTGCTAGTAACAAATAACTGGAGACTAATGTAACTTATTAAGGCATCCTATTCTATCACTACCTACAATATCTATGAAATTAATGTTCAATCCAGATTTATATAAAAGCTATCATTACAAAACCTCAATGATTATACACATTAATGGAACCAACATTGTCTAATTCAATTACCATAGGAGTACTGTACTGTAGTAGTCACACACCACATAGTACAATAGTTTTATAGGTCAGAGTGACACCATATATATGTATATACGTACATATATGTATATACGTACATATATGTATATACGTACATATATGTATATACGTACATATATGTGTATACGTACATATATGTTTATACGTATACAGTATTACCCCGCCTAACGCGGTTTCACTTAACGCGTTTTATCATATACGCGGTGCCTCGCCAGAGCTGAACTTTCACTTAACACGGATTTTTTCCACATATACGCGGTGAGTGTCCAGCTCGAGACGCTATTTTTAGATTTGCCCCACCCGCCACCCTGCCTGACTGCCTGTTTTAGCTCATAAAATTCATACAAATTACCCGGCCAGAATATAATTTACATTGCTGGAATTCTTATAATTTGGTGATCATTTTGAATATAAACATCATATATTTTGCATTAGACATACAAATTTTAGATAAAATGTTTTCTCTAGTAAATATGTTATCTTTTGTGCAAAATATATGACATTTATATTCAAAATATTCCTGGTCTTACAAGGAATCCAGCAATGTCAATTGTATTATCCTAACTTTAGTTTGAGGTATTATTTATTAAAATTTAGTGGTTTTCCCCCAAAAATTTCTCAGAGAGGGAAGAGCCAGCAGTGTAGTGTGAGAAGAGGGGGAGGGAGTTGAGTCCATTATTTGAATGGACATTAACTTGGCGACTGTATTTCTCTATTTCTCTTAAGTATTAATTGTGTGCATGTACCATCATAAAATTAAGATGTTATTTTTACTACAACATAGTTATGTGTCTTCAAAAAGTGGAGTTTGGGGGTCGGGCTGGTTTCTATTGGAATTAATCCCATATGTTCTGTTGTTCACTTAACGCGGATTTCACTTAACACGGGACCCTCTGGGTTCTATTGACCGCGTTAAGTGGGGTACAACTGTATATATATATATATATATATATATATATATATATATATATATATATATATATATATATATATATATATATATATATATATATATATATATATATATATATATATATATATATATATATACCTGTATATATATTACTATGTCATTGCTTCTATAATAATTCTGGATTTTAATTATGCATTATCAGCATACTATACAGTGTATACAGAAATAAATTAATCTGAAATATATGTACAGTAATGGTTGTCCAGTCCTTTGGGTTGCACTACTTTGCCTGGACAAGTACTATTAAAAAAGCTCACCACCCATAAAAAAAAAAAAAAAAAAAACATTAACCCACAGTCACACGAAGTTGGGAGAATATTAGTGGATATGGTGTGTTCATGGCCATAAAGGTCCCAGAAAAGCTAACCCTTTTTATTTTAGAAGTAAACCTTGTTAACTTTATGAGCATAGAATTTTGTGTATCTGCAAGACACACGTTCATACATTAATAAACATATATACATATAATAAAAAGCCTTTTGGGATATGGCTTTAAAGATTATATCCTCTGTTTATATGTGTCATGCAAGAAAACTTAGAAATAAGGTTTAGGAATAGAGAGGCAAACTTGTCTCCAGTAAAATTATCCCTACACTTAGTGCACTTAAGAGTCTTATGTGAGCGGTAAACCTGCAACTGCATTCACATATCTTTGTGCATTTATAAATCTAATGTAAATGGGAGAGAAGTTAACACTAACAGAAAAGTTTAGGCACAAACAAGTGTACAGATATTCTTTGACAATGCTAAGTACAGTATATAAACAAGTTATCAGTGCAAAGAGGCTTTAATATCATGGTCAGTTAACAGATGAATTTAACTAAACCTTTGATATAAAGTTAATTTACAGAAACAAGGTAAGATTGATCAGGTAACCGGTATGCACACATCAATAGTCTACATTCAAGACTAACTGCACAAGGTCAACCATAATCACATTCACCTTTTCTTCACACACAAAGCTGGGACAAGGGTAATATGGAGGAAGGGGGGGGGGTGTAATCTTCAACAAACACTTCAGTTATTCTGTTATTTCTGCGTGTTTAAGAGAGTCAGTCCCAACAACAACAACTCAAACATTTGCAGAAAAAAATTACTTACTGGTTTGACTATCACATTAGCATCTCTCACTAGCACAAGGAAATATAAAGTGTGAAATGAGAAATACAGCTGTAGCAACATACTGTATTGTAAAGAGGGAGGGAGAATAGGAACTGGAGAGCATCAGGCAGTACAAAATGATTACTCAAGTAAAATGGAAAAGGATAAACATGAGATGGTAATATTTGTCTCTGGAAGGCATCAATCAAGTAGCCAGAGAATACTTGCTCAATAACATAAAGTGATGCAGCTTGAATGTTAGAAAACAAAATATTTTCCTATGTGTTGTTACTGCTCTCTCAGGGGAGTCCACATAGCACTATAAAAATGAATACATTATTGGAACTTATAAAATCAATCATTCGGTTATTTAGCTGAACTTCATACTACAATATATACTGTACTACTTTTCTTTCCTCAAAGGGATAAATAAACAAAATAAAGTACCATCTAAGGAAAGAATGAAATACCACAGCAATTTCTTGAGCGGTATATCTGGTGCTCTCTACCGAGCATGAATGTTTACTGGAGTCCAACAGAAGCACTTGAAATATTTGCCAAAAAGTTAATGCATATTGGTTATGTTATCACAATACAGTACTATAAAGTTACTTAAATTATATATATATATATTATATGTTTTTTTTTTATATATTGTCACTCCTCTAAGTGTCAAAATCACAACTAAATTTCTTGAAACAACTGCTAAAGAATTATTCTGTGGTTTTCAATGAAAAGGCTACCACAAGCTTGTAGTAAAAATTGGTACAGGAAAAGAATTGTGAATTTTGCAGTAGGTTTTCCTGAGAGGAAGGCATTGAAAATTTAGGACAAGATAAGTATACAAGAACAATACAATACAGATATGAGAGAGTTAAATTCTCTCATGTTTTAGAATGAGTCAAACCACCAACAAGTCTGCATTGTTAATACTGTAGACAAAAAAGCTCCAATGGGAGAAGATTTCTGTTCAAGTTATCCCCTAAATCACTGTGGTTCAGTGAATGCATCATCTACTCACATATGCATTATTTTCATCTCACATTTGTTATTATTTGTATTAATAAAAAGTGCTGTATACATACAGAAGGCAAAAATTACTTCTTACAAGTATACGAGTATTGTATATACTAATGAGATCAAAGTCATTTGCTCATTTCAGTTTCAAAAAAGGACAAAGGACCTAATGGTTCCCTTTCTGATATAAACCCTTTTAAAACCTGATGTTCACAAGTAACTCCTCGACAACCTTTTAAACTTTCCACCAACAATAGATAACTGTGTAATTACCAGTAGTACTACTGTATATGTGAATGACAGTGGTACTACTTTTCTATCTTTGTAAATGTTAAAACAATTTTAAACAGAGTAAGTCAACTCATCTGGTAAACGTATTCAGTGCTCCTGAATGATCTGTAGCTTACGTACCAAACAAGTTTGGTTCACAATGGATCTGATTCAATTTTTTATGGGAATAAGAGTTCAGGTGTGAGCTTGAAAAGTTTTTTGTAAACCTCACAAAATTTACTTTCTGAACAAGCTGAGGACATAAATTACAACAAGCAGCCTCTACCAATAGGAACATGGTCACAGAAGTTACCGAAAAATGTAAACAAATAATGGCTGTCATGAAACCATTGATTACAACACACTCCAGCATCTTGGAAGAAGTGCTGCAAATGCCTACAAGTACAGTTTCATCCCATGTGCCTCTGATATTGTCACAATCCTATGATACCAACAGTTGGAGATTATGATATAAATCAGGCATGGGCAACCTGCAGCCCGAACCATGTCTTTGTGCAGCTTGTGGTGTAATTGAGAAATTCTATTTAATGTGGCCTGCGGTTCAGGTAGATGCAGCCAGCTTATGGCGAGTAAACAATATTTATTAAAAGAATAATCTTAACACACAATTCATTACCGTTTCATCACCTAAGAGTAAGTAACTGTGAAAACGTAACAGTGAAATAAGTATAAATAGTCAACAACATAAACATTTTAACTTGTGTGAGTTTATGAACCAAGTTCGGCGTGGTCTGTTTGATGGATTAGCTGCTGTGTGGCAGTGGGTCACTTGGGAATTAAATAAGGTTGGGCAAGTCCAAGTGGGGTCACAGGCGGTGGTCACACCGCCTTTCATGCCTGGATGTCTGTTCTACCTATATTCTTGTCTGATTAGGTCTCTCCATGGGCATTTATATACTTCTTGGACCCCCCCCATTTTTTAAATTCCTGGATCCGCCCCCAACATGAAGATTAACTGTTTCACTGTCCGTGCTAGTACCATATTAACATTACTTTTGAATTCGGTAGGATATACATTTTGATGAGTTGGCCCGCCAAAAAATATCTAAATCGTAATGCAGCCATGATTAAGGAAAAGGTTGCCCATGCCTGATATAAACTATGCTTCAGGATGATCCAGATCTTGTTATACGAACCATAATCATTCAGGGAAAAACTGAATATAATACTTCATATGATACTTCTACAAAAGGTATAATAAATTTCAGTAGCAAGGAATACATTTTGTAAATTATCTTACAAGGCCTTGGCTCTCACTTCACTGTTTTTAGTAAAATTAGAAACAACTTTCTCTCTCTACTTATATGTAATGAAGAGGGTTTATAATGATAGTATAAGAGAGATTTCTAATAAACTTATCCCCACACTATGATTATTCTAATATATACAGAGCAAAATTAATGCACTACTTTTTCAGTACTAGTCAACAAAATGGTAAGAAAATCGAGTGAACATAAAGCTGCCATCACTCCTGATAGACTTCAATACAACCTACCGGTACATTACCAGAAACTGAAGCAGTATTAAAAGTTATTTCCTCTCATAGACTTTAAAGTTACTCGAGGCAAAAACATGTGATAGATTAAGCCAGCACTGCTAGAATGTACAAGATGGAGTGGAGTGAGACTAACTACTGCTTCCTACTAATTATATATCTAATTTCCGGGGTAATTTATGATTTAAGAATACACAGCCATAAAGACCAAAACAGTTCTGTATAAATATTATGAAGCCAAAAAATACCTCTACTTGAGAAGATAAATATACTGTATATAATGAACACAACATAAAATGTACTCTTCCAGAATCCTTTTAAGCAAAATTCCCTGCACTCTTTTCGTGTGTGTGAAGCAAAAATGAGGATATATGTGTTGTAAAAAGTGATATACATATATAGCTATGGAACAGGAAGTGCATTATTGTCTAAAAGATGATAATAAAAATATAGCACAAATATTTCAGGAGAGCGACTAAATTCACTTCATCCAGATTATTAACGGATCTCGTGTGACTGTGACTGGTACAGAAAAGCAGGCAGGAACACTGCTTAAGATGGCTATGGCAGAGTTTTCCATTAATTCTCATACCTATGATCGTGGGAATATGCAAATGAGGTAGAGAAGCAATCTGGCAGGAAAGAAATTGAAGCCTAGCAAATGAAGTGAGAACGGACTTGAGGTGTAGTAAATGAAGTGAAGAGCAATGATGTGAAAGGGGACTTGAGATTTACCAAATGAAGTGAAGAGGGATTTTTAGATCTTGGAAGTGATAAAATGAGACAATATTAATTCTAGCCTATGAAATGACGAGGGACTGTACAGTAAGCATAAGATTTAAGTAAGAAAAGTTGTGCATAAGACAAGTTAATATGGAGGAGATTCCTTACCCACTCAGAGTAGTAGGTGGGGAGAGATACTTTTAATCATGTGAAGTACAGAATAAAAATAAATAAATAATAAATCACTCAACATCTCTCACTCACGCTGTCTTTAATCTTCTCCGCGTCTTTAATTTTTTTGCTACTACTTGTGTTATCTCTAATGGAATCCTTCTCCGGGTCCTTCACTTTTTTGCTCCCTGTATTATCTTTAACAGAGTCCTTGTCTGAGTCTTTGGTCTTCTTGCTTTTACTGAACTTCAGACTCCCAAGAAAACCATTACTGAACCTGCTCTTACTTGGCTTTTTTCTAGAATCGGCACTTGGTGAACGTTCTTCTATTAAGGATGAATCGGAAGAGTTCCCTTCTTCCGACGGGGACGTCATTATTTTCCTGTTACGCAGAGATGTGATCTTGGGACTATCCAGAAATGGGTCACTGGCAAATATTTTTTCCCGTTCCTGCCAAGGAAAGAAAATGTACATTGTTAGTTTACATTCAAAAGTCTTAATAAAGTAAAGTGTAAATATCAGTTTTCTACAGTCCATTTGAGCATTGTCATATTCTGTGTTTCTATTTTTGAGTCTCTACTTAATTAATGCAATCAAGAGTAAAGATACGCACATGCACGCACGCGCACATGCATGCACGCACGCGCACATGCATGCACGCACGCACGCACACATGCATGCACGCACACATGCACGCACGCACGCACGCACACACACTGTTAGAGAGAAGGCTATGGTACTACAGAGACAGGTGGGACCTCTGTCTACAAACACTAAAAAGCTAAGACTCACAAGTGTTCTTCATTATTGTTAAAACACGGAGTTGGCCAATTTAAACTAATGGTTTAAAAAATTCAATCTACTATGCTTTTTTCTTGGTTTTAATATTTTTTTTGTGTTTTATTACTGTACAGACGGTTTTAATAAAATTTACTTTTTCGTTTGATATCAGAAATACGTCTGACCTAATACTGTACCTTATTTTTCTGCACTTTTTGGTTATAAAAAAAAATATATATATATACAGGGTATATAATTTCATTAAAAAGTACTACTTTACATGCTGGTTAAGGATCTAAGTCCAGAATTCAAAAAATCAAGTAATTAGTGTCAATTAATGATGTTTGTAACACAGTAATTAAAGATGTTAAGAATATTTTAAGTCAATTATGCTGTGCCATAAAACATGTGGTACATAGATTATTTTTGTTTCAGAAGACTTTATCATGCTTACAACATTATATCTACTGACAGCCACAGACACGAAGATAACACCATATGAGGTTTTAACTCGGCCTTGCCATTTCACACTGAAACAACAACAAAAATCAGTATCACCCATATTTTTTTCTCCTCACATTACTACAAATACTGTACAGTACACACTTCTCGTCTCGTCTTGTCTTGTTACATAAATAAATTCCACAGCTACACCAAGTACCATGGATGGGATTCACAAAGTTGCTGGACATCTGTCAAGGCTTCTACTTGCTGTGCTAGTCACAAATACTGTAACTACTTCAACATAAACTGAAATCCACACCATATACAGTAACTTAATAAATTCATACCTTCAACTGTGTGTCACATCTGGTGCTGACATCTGTGTCCTGACTGTAGGACTTGAGCATGGGACTGCGTTTAGGAGAAGGTTTGTGTTGTGTGACTCCTGTGCTAGTCCCAGGCGGGTGTGTGGAAGATGAATGAGGGGTCGAGTGACTCACCTGTGAGGAGGTGATTGCTCTGCCGCCTTCAGAGTTCAGCGTCAGCCGACTGTGGAAACGGAAACACTATACTGTATTGTAAATGTGTATCAAAATCATGTGTATGGTAATTTAATACATGAAATATTAACTAACATGAATACCTGTAGTAAGGAAGCTATAAATACTGTTCGATAATGACCTTAAATTCAGGCCTTAGCCTTGATTATGTGGTTATAAAAATTGTATGCTACACATATCTCTGGTGATGATGTAACAACACCTAGTTCTATTGCCATGTCTTAACCCCTTGAGCAGTTATATACAGTAGTGAAAATCAATTAATCAATGAAAACATTTAACCCACAATGTTAACTTCCACCTTGAACAAGTTTTTCATAAAATTTACACATGACAACCTGTTAGGTGATGATATAACAACACAGAATGCTTCATTGTAATATCTAATTGCATCACTAAGTTGTTAAGAGTGGACACAAAAATAGAATAACATAACTCGCTCTATGAATAACCTTTCCACCATAAGTCCCTCGAGATATTCTCCATCAACACCGTGTTCCCTAACCTAACCACAATCTCAGATCATAATTCAGTGATTTTTTTTAAACAAGAACAACACCATTGATCATTACACATAAAACCAACCTTCTCTTTGATCCTCTGATCCCGCTGCTAGGGGGAGAGTAAATACTTTTTTAGCAGAGGTAAATATAGGGAATTTAATATGATGAGTTATAATCTAAACAAATTATATAGTTTTAGTGAACTGAACCAAAGGTCAGACAGCACTTACAACAACAGTGTAGTACTGTACAGTAATAGTACTTCTGATGTCATGAGGAAGTTACTTAGAGTATTCAGTATGTCTTCAAACTGTTACTGGTAAATTTTTCTCAAACTCTGTGTATAAAATTCAAGTGTACACAGAAGGAAAAGGAGATACAGGACTCAGTTTTTTATTCTATGAAGACAAGACTGTTCTGATTGGTTATCAAAGAAATTGCCATCAATGCCACTCACACAGATATCAACCTTAACCCGAGTGTGGAAAATGACTCGGACATTGATGCAGGAACTGAAATCAATGACAACGTAAGAGGTAGCAAGGGATCTAACATTTACTGGGATTACTTTGGACATATTGGCAATGCTAAGATACTTGGGACACATTGGCAATATAAAAGAACAAGAGCACAGTACAGTACCTTCCTCCCATGGTGAAGCTAGTAGTCTCTGATACACACTGAGATACATCTGTCTCTTCTGTTGATGAATCATTGGAGTCTTTACTAGGGTCATGTTCTAGTGGAAGAATGCGGTTAATGCTCCCAGTACTAGACACTCGACGAATGTGCTCCTTATCCAGTAAGTGATGAGTTAAATCTGTCAAGAGTTCATATTTAAGACAAACTTTATGCAAAGTTAAAAAGTTACATTATTCAATAGTATCCACCAATATTACTAATACTGTAGCATGAATAAACATACAAAATATCGACTTAATATGACACAGATATTTCATTACACAATATACTTACACCCCCAAAGGAGTTTACATGTTCACATATGTGCAAAACAAATATAATTCAAAGCATACTATTGAGACCTATTATCTTTCTCCCTTCCTCTGCATATTGTGACAGGTGACTAACTGAGGGAATCTATAAGCCCTCAGACAACCTCCATTATGTGTGCCAGGGTTGGTCTCTTAACCCACTTGAGTAAATCAATCACCCTCTCCCTCCACACCACACCCGAAGACACAGAACCCTTCATTAAGCAGCCTGTACAGTAAAATAACCCATATATAAAGGATTGATCCTAAAGTTCTAGTTTCTAAATGAGCCAGGATATGGTGACTCTTTATACAGTATATTTATATTAGTCAGTAAGTCTGTGGGTCAATATCAGCTTCCCAGAGATCCAAACTTGTGGCTGAAATATATAAACTGTGTATATTGTGTAAATAAAAACATATCAATTACCTTCACCTTTATTCTGTATCTGGGTACAACAACAATTTAGTAAAAGAGTTTGGCCAGTGGGGTCAAGGCTTAAGAATCTTCCCCACCACATAACCCAGTGTGTTCCTCAATCCTGTTTTAGTTGGTTCAGTGAGAAAACAACACAACCACATCAACACCTCAGTCATGTACTGAGGGAGGAAAAGATCTGAGTAGCCCTATCCCAACTCAGTTAGATGACAGAATTCCAGGATCAATCTTTCATTATTAACCTAGGGTACAGTACAGTGCAGTAGAGTAGGATGACTCTATACCCAAGCCAGCAGAAGAGTATTGCTGTTATTAAAGCTCTGCAAGGCTCCACATCAGTAATGCTCCCATCAAGGCCTCCCTCACCAACTTTAGTATCTCAGGGTATGCATTGAAGCTGCACATGCTTATAGTTCACACAATAAATTTCAGAGAACATAAACTTTTGTCAACAGTACTGCAGCATTAGGATCCTGATGTTAGTACACATATACAACCATGAGAGGCATATCGTAATTAAACAATACATAATTGCTACCATAACTGCACTGTGCTGGGATGACAGCATAAGGACTGCTCATGATAGCTTCATCTAATACTATTATTCACATAAGGATGTTAGTTTACAACTGTAACTGTACGAGTGGCCTAATCATTACACAAACTGTTAACTGTGCAATGCCAGGGCTACATAGTGACTGTGCTGTTATTATATGCTGTGATAACTTTACACTAAATACTCTGTGACCAAATTGTTCTAAGAGATAATAACTGTACTGTACTGTACTGATGCTACAGAAGTGTGCATGTGTACAGTATTCACCATGCTGAAGCACACTCCTAAGTCTTCTGGGCATTAAAGCCAAACACCTACAGTACAAATATTCTAACTAGTCTCGCCTTATTGAACATGAGACTTGGAGAGGCAGCTCATGTATCATGTTGTATAGTAAATAATACAGCTTGCTGTGGTGACTGTCTGACCCACCAGCAACTCCCTACAGATCTACAACTTCTGGTGAATACAATACAATGTTATGTATTTTATTGGAGTAAATAAACAGAGGAATAGACCTATATTTTCAGGTCAACATAGATCCACATCAGTTTTGTAAATATTTTCCAGTAATTAATGCTGATTGAAGTACAAATCAGTGTCTAGAAAAAAAAAAGCCCCACAAACACATTGACAGTCATAAAAACTGACACAGTTACAATACCCCACATAAAAAATACAAACATTTATAGCATCAGGATAAATAATGTTATACTTGATGGTCAAACAATACATACACAGTTAACAATTTGTGCGTTATCTTGTTGTAGCTTGTGGCCGTCAGGGGTCTGGGCATTTATCAGTTTTCTTATACGCATTTGCAATCTTACTCTCATAACCTTCTGAGTCAACCCATTATTTCGTGGTACAGCCTCGGGCATGTTTCTGGTGACGGCAAGCTACCGCACAGCACAAAATGATCTTTACTGCGTCACATAAGTATTTTTGTGAATATTGCAAGAAATATGAATGATAATTTCACATGAAAATGTTTTAAATGTTTTAAATTCTATCCTTCACAAAATAGTATAATAGGGAACTTCAAGAAGAGGACACCAATCTATACAGAACAACACTTGATTGGTTAATAAAGGTAATTCACCTACAAGTTCAGATGGATATTAGTTATACAGACCATTAACTTTTGATGACACAAATGACCTCTCACTGGACTTTATCTATGATGAATACTATTATAAGATAACAACAATGGATTCAAGAATAATTCATTAGGGAAACCAAGAAACTTATTTTCTTTACTTTATCAACTTATAAGAAAATGACTCACCTGTAGAATAAGTGTGACTGTGATGCATAATACTTGTCTGGGTCATGGACGACTCAGAGCCCAGGGACGAGCCAGAGTCTCGGGGAATAAGTTGGCTCCTCTTGCGCCCACTCCCAGAGCTTCCTTGGACATCGGCCATAGAATCTCTAGGTGTTTTGACTAACCCTGAGGAGTTCAAACTTCCCCCTCCTCCATAGTAACTCGATGCTCCTGTACAGCCCCCCATAGTGAGAAACATTAATGCTGATTGGCTGCTTAACAGTTGGTGAACTACGGGCCCATGGGAAGTTGATGTCCAAGTTCATGATGAAATTCACATGTACAGTATTGAAGGTTTGATTTTTGTTGTTGTCAGAAAACCAAATAATACCAATGACCACAGAGCACCAGCGACCACCGTCACAATAATTCACCGGCACCGACCAATGGTAAATTTGATGAAAGTAAACAGATAGAAAACATTATATAATGATCACAGTTGCAGCATTCAGTCAGTGCGCATAATATTGAATCGTGTAAGCCAAGTGTGACGCCATCGTCCGCCACGGCGTCAATTGCGCGTCACACATGCCACATTGCAGTGGTGGTGTTGGTTATAACATTAAAACATTGATGTCAAGATATTTCCCCAAATTTTCAAGAAAACAAATATAATAAAATTAAGATAAAAAAAAAGATGAAGATGAATAAATATATATTTTTGGGGGGGTTAAAAGTTTCAATGTTCAATTTAACAAGACAGCGCCCAAGTTGAAGTTGTGAGAAGGACAAGGAGACAACCACAGCACCGAGAAAAAGAAGGAAAAAGAAATATAATTAATGTACAGGACGATAACCACAAGTTAATGAAGCCAACAAATTATTCATGATAATATTCAGTTAATGAAGCCTCAACAATTCATGATAATATCCATAAGTTAATGAAGCCAAAGAATGACTATTCCTGATGATACAAGAACTAATGAGGACTAAATTATTCCTGACAGTATTCACAAGTTAGTGAAGGTCAACACACACACACACACTCCTGTACAACACAAGGCCTATGGTAATATTCATGGAGGAAAAATTTGACTTGAACAATTTAAGTTCTCCTAAATTTACCAGAAAAATGACTGACAACAAGACATGTTAACCTCAGTCATCATGAATTATATACCAGTGTAAGACCTTGATTTCATCTAGTATTCTCACTAACAAGTCTTGACACCTCAGCCTAACATGGTCTATTGAACAGAAAGTGAAAAGTACTGCATGTAATTTACCAAGTCCATAAGTTCTATTCCCTTTGGTGTCTAGTTAAGATTTTATTGGTGGCTAAGGATTCCCTACTCTACCCCATATGTGCTTAAACATGAAGAGACATGAAACGTCCACTGATGACGGCCGCCGTCCCTACAACTAACTTCCACGGGTGATGGCCACCATTTAAGGGTTAAATCATGGGAGTAAGGTAAAAGTACTCTGGCATAACGGTCTGGAATATAATCGGCGGCAAACAGCGTAAAAGAAAATAATAATAAATGATTGAAATTAGTGAGAGGCAATACACTAACCATGCAAAGTTAAACACCAAGCAAGAACTTCTGCAATGAGGCATGCTGGCTGGCTGGCCTAGTGTGGTCGCAGGTACAGTATTTTTGGTAAACATGTGAGGGTGCCAGCTGTACTATATGGTCAATAGGATATTACAAACATCATGCAGGTTCTTCTATAGATACACAATGTTGAAGGATAACAAAACAAAATCCATCATCACAGAAAAATGTCATGTTTTCTCTGAAAAAAGCACAGAAAAGCATCATAGTTTTGGAAACAGTTTTGACCGGAAAAAATCAAATAAAGCAAATCTACCAGAACTCCTCAGAGGGTACTAGACACCTGGTTTACATCACATTACAGCAACTAATCAGCAATGTATAATATAAAGAAACAGTTTATCAACACTGTTAATACAAAATCATAAAAATTCAGCCAAGATACTTTATGCCATTTCCCACAATGAAAGGAGTTTCAATCCCCTGGGTGATGACTTAGCTCGAGGTGGCTGGTGGCCAACTCAGCTTACCCGACAGCACAACAAAGCCCTACCAATCTTTCCGACCATAGGATTGAGCCCACGTATCATGTGTTGGGGTTCCATTGCTCCCAATAAGCCATGAAGCCCATGAAGGAAAAAAAAAAAGAGTAAGCAACATATAATAAATGAAAAGAAAAAATTCCCATGGGCCACCACAATGTAAATACAACATAATGCATCTTAAATTTAGAATGAGAATAAAATTTTGTCAGAAAGTAGATATTTTTTGTCTCTATAACTGACAATTGTTTGCTGTGGTCACATATATGCCCTTTACACACCTACTGTACATAGTACAGTACAGTACTTATTTACTGTTTTTAAACTTTTCTTGCCTTTTAATTACAACTTATACCCCATTTACCTTATTCACATTCATTCTCTAATACATTACATCATGATGTATTTGACTGAGCTGCATACTTTCACTCTAAAACAGTTACATTGTCACTAAAGGCCACTCCTCTCCTTCACTCCCATATAAAATAAATAAAAGCATTCATGTTAACGGTATCATTTAATCTTCATTACAGTACTGTACTGTAATAAAAAACAAAGAAACAACAACAATGTAACTTATAAAAAAAAGATAAAAAGATATCCGATGCCTGACAAGTGTTATGACGGTTGTTAATATCTGGAGAAGTGGAGTAACAACACAATGACTTTATGGCAGAGAAAATGACCAGGAAAAGTGATTGACTGTTCAGGAGGACATTTATGGTGTGACTACAAATAAACTGAGACATCCAAAGTGTTAGAATTTGTCACATAATAGAGAAAGAAAGGAACACTTTATGGTATAATACTTCATGCTTATAACTGAGATTGTGTCTAATAATCTTCTACCTGCAAATAAATAAATAAATAAATAAATAAATAAATAAAATAATTAAATAAAGTAAATTTAGTAATACTTCATACTAAATGTTTTTGTGACGTATTAATATCTTTTACTCACTGATAAAAAAGTTCCACATGAGCAACAATATTTTTGGTCCGACATATTTTCCATATATCTATAATAACAGTGAACGTCTTTGGTACAAGTTACTGACAAAATAAACTTATTTTATTTCTCAATTTACCTTTTGTACTGACGTCAATAAATAATGAACAACACAAAGACCTTAACCTAACATGGAGGATATTCTGATAAAACTAACGCCAGATTACTCACAGCTCGCATCACAACTCTCTTATGGTAATTTTAATGGAGCAAATTTGTCATTAATATTTTTTTCGTTTTTGTTCTACAGTTGTATCAAGATCCAGGCCATCCTCAGGCAGCTGGTACAGTACAGGCAACCTTAATACTTCATCAGCTACTGTACTAGACTAACTTGAACCCTTAGGAGTGTAGTAATAGAACGCATTAATTCCGATTCCAAGTTTACAGTCAAGTTAAAGACCTTGTTCAGGTACTCCAAGTCCAACCCTTGTATTGCAAGTTCCTAAACCTAGTACAGTACAATACTGTACATGTATTATACTGTACTTTGTCATCACAAAACAACAACACGGTACAGTACAGTACAGTACAGTACAGGTCCGAGTCTTCCAAGTCCAAGTTTGTGAAAATTCAACATGAGCTGAAGTCCAGACTCGAGTACAACGCTGCTGCTCCTTGACAAGACATATCACTAACTACTGGGAAATACTGTACGTACTGTAGTAATTCAATACCACTGGAGATCATATCAATATAAGGGAAAGGCTAATGTACAGATATTATTATTATTTTCTTTTTAAGCCCGTGATAGTCAAAATCAATTTGCAGTATTCTTCTTTACAAAGGGAACAGTTTACGTTCAACAAACATAATAAAAGCAAAATTTTTGGCTACAGTACATACAGTAAGTCAGTGTATAATAGTACAGTATACTGTATTACTGTTATTCTACTGTGATAGAGACGCTTCATGTATACACGGTCAGATCCTGTCAACGAGTCACTGTCTACTGTTGACAATTAAACTTGTTCAACCGTCATGCAATATATAAAAAAAAATTAATACCTTTCCTGTTCTATGTATACCATGATGGAAAATAACCATATAATACTCTACTTTCTACCCAAATGTACACTACACAATATTAATTGCTACAATAAGGTATAAAACTAAGGCACTAAGTTGGTACAGACATGCAACTAACTGCGTGCAGGAAGTACTGTATACTGTAACAACTCACACAGTACACAACAACAACAGAATGTACAAAGAATCATAACCTCAATACTGTTGATATATATTTTCTTTCAGCTAAAATAAGGAAAGTAAGCAACTCAAAATCAGACTTTTTTTCCCCACAAACAAATGGTCTTTCTCTCAGCACGACATGAGATAATCTTAAGAGCTGTACCTGAGCTCAAGTGCCAGACAACATGAAGCAGGAGAGTTACCATCATGTAGACTCTGTAATAATGACTTAACATGTATCTACAAAGGATTCATAACACGTAGTTTACTACAGTATTTCTATTACAAGTGAGTGCCAAAAATAGTCCGTTTTGTGTCTATACTGGACCATCGACCCATAATGTTTTAAAGTGTCATTTTCAAAATCCCCGTCACTCAACTGATCCTATATAAAGTCAACGACGACTCAAATGTAATCTTGTCGAAGATTTCATCTCAAAAGTTCTTTCCAAAACTTAATTTAAACCAGAAGATTTGGTGCAAAGTGTGGACAATATTAGCAGTTACAGTAGGTTGGGGTTTCCTTGTTTAATATTATTATGAAAGTTAACTTAAAAGATCCTTAAATTACAGTATTTGTGATAGTATTGATTTCAATATGATGAAATTTAGGTTTTCTGTAAATAGTCTGCAAATGATTACATTTAATATGGGAAAAAATTAAAAATTCACACATTAACTCCTGCACACTCTTGCCATGGCTCTCTGAAAATACAATTCTTATAATTATTTCTCTCTATTACTGCCGACAGATAAGACATTACATAACACGGAAATTAATGGTAGGAAGCAGAGCACTACACAACACAAAAGCTTTACCTCATGTACAGTCACCCACAAAACTCCTGTCGTCTCTCCTCCTGAACCATGAACCCCGAGATTCAGACTTGTGAATCAGAAGCATTTATGGACAGAATAATGCATCAGTGTTTACTGCTTCGGATTCATGAGTTTGAATTTTGGGGTACTTGGAACAGCACAATAGATGACAGGAGTTTTGTGGGTGATTGTACAGTACACAGATATCCCAACCCTTATATGCCAACAGTACAACATCTTAATCACAACTAAAAATAATAACACTATAATCACTGCACAAAATAACTAACTTGTGTGATGATGACAAGTAAAAAGATTACCGAGTAAAAAAAAATCAATGTGATCATCAACTAATTCTTTAAAACCTGTTACAATAAGCTAATCACTGAAGGTTTCTCATGGTCTTACAAGATCAGTCTTGAAATAAATCAGCCTAATATCTAACTAGGGAAATAGAGGAGGGTGAAGGGGGTGGGGGAGTTTGGGAGGGGGTTGGGTGTTAGAGAGAGAAGTAAACACACATACATGGCATTCATTATCTCAATCAAGGGACAGGTAGATACATATACAGTATGCCTATCTCAATACATCTAAGGTGCTAAGTCATGGCCTAGCTCACTGGGTCAATTACTCTGGGCTGACTCCCCACCCCTTTAGTAGTCAATAAAATAGTTACCCTCCTTTATTTATTTCTAGAGTTCTGACATTTTTCTAAAATAATAGTTTTCTTAAATGAATAAGTTTATCTACAGAGTATATGCTGAGTATTTTTGGAGTGTGACCTTAAGAAACAATCATTCACTAAGAACAATAAACTCTCAATATTCTTTGGTGTAAATTATCATAAACTGGAAGCTTGTGTGTGTCATTAAGCATTCTAATTCTTAAGACTCCAACCACCTGATAGCTGTCTGGTTTATGTGATAATTACCAAGATATTTTTAGATATGTTTCATGTAGTACAGGTATTATGAATTTGGTACAGTACTTGACAATGTATGAAGAAGTAAAATAATGTGTTAAGGGAAGATTTAGTCCTGGCAACTAAAGTTCCCAGATTTAACAGAAAATATAGAGAAATAATTTTAAAGTGATTATGATGGTAAACAATTCAGTACGTCATCATCGTCATCAATGCCTTACGGCTATTTTTCACACTTGTACGCAATATTTGTGAAGCTGTACTAAATGAGTGCACAATTTGTTTTCATTCGTGATGCTCAAAGCTGATGACGACAAAGATACTTACAGAGGAAATACAGATACATTGGATCTATGTATTGAAGCTCCGTACGAGACGAGAAAAATCAGATAGTATCTTTCTATTTAGTTCACTTTACTGTTAATTATATTAAACAAACATTCAACCAAATATATGTATAGCCACACAAACTCTACTGTAGCTCCACAAGTAACAGGATATTGTAAGTAATGGTCATGCTACATCAATCATTTGAGATGTTAGCACAGCGTTAACTGTAACTTTTAACCAGGAAGAATAATAGACCAAAACCCATACAAATGTAATGACAAGCTATTGGAAACATGAGGGGCAGCTGGTTAAAACACCGGGTTAAGTCAATGAGAGAGAGACAGGGAAGAGTTAAGAATCATGGAGGTGTTGTTGACATCCTCCTGGCCCTACCTATACTAGGCGCATAGGTGGAGTGAGGTCGGCCATTCACTTGTGGACGAAGCATCAACTCCAGTGAGTGTAACCCGGCATTTGTGGTGATGCTACAGCCAGCGAGGATCTCAATGTTGCGCCAGCGCTGTTCTCTCTCCCGCAGCTCGTGGGTCACCTCTTCCATAATTGTTCTAGCGGAGAAATGATCATTTGTAGACGGTTTTATGGTGGTATAGTAAATGTGGAATATCTTAATCATACTCTGAGACAAAATAATAAATAACATATCTGAAATTATACAGTATGTCAGACACCAATATACTGGAGAAGATACAATGTCTCACCAAAGAGTTAACCTGTGGGAAGACAAACACAGGCGTGTACATGAAACATAAAGGTTGATATACTACAAGATAATGTAATTGGTTGGATATAATGAGAAATATTCAATACAAGACTAAGTACATAAGTGTCAATCTTTACTCAACCCTTAACCATTGGCAATGAATTCCCTATTCCTTCCCTTCAGGCACAACAATGGAACTTAAGGAACACGAAATGTCAACTGATGATGGCCACCGTCCCTACAGCCAACTTCTCCCACTCATAGTGGTCATTCTTCAACATACCTGGCTTGACTGATTGACTGGTCAACATTGTCCATTTTCCCGTGAACGGAAGCCAACATCCCCATTAAGCTGCGACGCTGGCGGTTAAGCTTCTCACACTGGAAAATGATTGAATTGTGCATTAAAATGGACGACTCACCATATTGAGCACAGTGAAATGATATTTTTTTCTTTGACAAATATAAAACGGAGGGAGTTACCACACAAGTGTCACTGTTACAACTACTGCCTCACCAAGGCCTCCTCTTCCCCCACTATAAATATGAAACATTTGTACTTGATATGTGATAAGCATAAGGTCCTTCTTGACGTCGCTTTTTGAAAGGTACGGGAATTACCGTACATAAACAAAGAGCTTCTTTCATTAGGTGTGTGCTCTGAGGTCTAGAATATAAATGACAAAGAAGTGTGAACATGTTTACTCTTACCAGATCCTTGGCTTGGCTGAATTGCTCTCGTGCCGCTCCTTGTTTCTTCTCAAATGCTATCCTCTCACGTTCATATGTCAGCTGGAGCCAATGTTGGAGGTCAAGTGGTGCACTCCAGTGGTGGTCCTCAAGCTCCGCCTCTTGCCCGCGCTTCATCTGTTCCATCATCATCTCGTTTTTCTCGCGTTCCTCCTGCCGGTGAAGAAAGTACACCTGCTGGTCACACGTACTGTATATTATTCATCAAAACCGTATCTCCAAAATATATCTAATCTGTTTTCTAAATGAAGAAGACTTTTTTGGGGGTAGACTGTTATTTCCTATTTTTCCAACAGTCCTCAGAATTAAAAGGAAATAGAGAGCCTAACTACCTACTGTGCCATACAAATTCTCTATAATTATTACCAATACTGTACTACATACTTCCACTAATTTATCCATGTATGATTTTCTCTTACATTATATCCTGTTGAAGTCTGTTAATTACTCTATTTAAAGTAATACAGTAATGTATTTCTTTAATAAATTCCTGACCTGGCTAACCAATACAATGTCAAATTTTCCTTTTTCTTGAACTGATAAATTTTAGTAACACTGTATCTGATAATCAATAAAACTTAAGCTAATTGCTCTCTGCCTGATTCTCAATTTTACTGATTTCTATAATCTTGCAAATAAATACCCAACTTTTAATTTGAATTTTCTTTAAATTTATACAACACAATATCAATGAACTGAACAAATTTCTAAAACCAACAACTTCACCACCTTTGTTCTGTCCCTTTTGCAGCACTTCTTACTAAGCCAGCACATACCCTAAGTTAACTTATAACACAAACCTTATCCCTAATCCTTAATGTGACCAGTGAATCACTTATGTAAATTTAACTTTGTATACAGTATATGTACATAGATCTGACAAACCTCAAGCTGAAGTCGGAGTTGCTGGACTTCTTTGTCGTGGTTTTCGTTCCTGTCTTCCCTTGCGGTCTCGTCATTCTCTTCGTTGTTTACTCTGGTTGTCATCTTTAGTTCCAGCTGCTGTAAGTTCTCTTCAGCCTCCCGCAGCTTCTCCATGTCCTAATTACAAGTTTTATTGATTAAACAAGTTCTAGAATTAAACTGTTTTATTTCTACACACATGTACACACACACACACACACACACACACACAAACAAAATTATGAATTACATGTGAGGCAACTGTAATTACAACTAACAGACAAGTTTGTGCTTGACCGGGGGGGAAACAGCAGTTAACCTGAAGGATGACAAGTGAGTCTTGTCCAAACCAGAATGTCAAGGAATCAAACATTTTCCGAGTATATTGTAGTCAGTCTATACTTTTTATTTTGTTTTTCACACACAAGTTATTATGAACTTACCCTCAACATGTCGCTCAGCTGTGCTTCATACTCTCTGTTCCGCTGGTAGGCCTTGAAGCAGCCAATCAGAGCGAGGGTAAGGAGTGAAACAAGGACGAGATCCTTCACGTGACTTCCTGTATCTGTTAACGGGATACATCGGATAATACTACAGAGCGTGTGAGACCTTCAGTAGCTATATACTATACACACTATTATGTATGATGAAGATAGTTCCCGGACATTAAATTCAACCAAATTACAATCTTCCACGAATATCATGATGAAACGCAGCGAGTACTACAGTGCGACCTGTCCTTCATCATTCTCATGAGGTGGCTACAATGCTAATTACTTAATCGTGCAGTTAGTTCTAAATACTTGGAGGTATAAAAATGTTTATATTCAAAAAACATCATCTAGGGATTTAATGTATTATATCTTATCTAATAACTTGATCCCACACATAACTTTACTTGTGAAGCATCTACATACCACACAGAGCCTAACACATCCCAACAGTTATCTAAAGACATGACATATGTAGCTAAGACAACTTGACCCTTTTATGATTATCTACGACACTATTCCTTAGTTTCAATTAACTGGTGACAAGATAATAATTTTTTTCCACTTGCAAAAATATAGCTGTTGTTTTTTATATGTTGTAACAGGTGCGTAAGTCTGAAACATATTGAAGTAGTTTGCATTTGTGACTTTTAGTTTGTATAAAATTGTAATGTAGTAAAATGTAAATAATGAGGGACTGATCCTAATGTCCTACTTCCTGGTGAAACTCAATGAACAGATGACTGGTGTAATGCTGACTGATGACTGGTGTAATACTGACTGATGACTGGTGTAATACTGACTGATGACTGGTGTAATGCTGACTGATGACTAGTGTAATACTGACTGATGACTGGTGTAATACTGACTGATGACTGGGGGATTTTCAGTCTTTGCACCTGTTCCTATTACAGTATGTGTGACTGGGAAGGATCAATTAACCCATTATTGCCAAAGGGGAAAGATTTGGTGCAATGCTTCACAACTTAAACAAAAACACACTCTTTATAATCAGTATTAAGGAGATGGTTGTAGCATAATGCTGCTTCATCTCCAAGTTCACAGAAAGAAGACAGGTACAGTATAAGGCACTAAACAGACTTGTCAACCGTATCTGGGTATAAGCAACATCATTTATCTCACAGGAGTTCCCAATGTAATTTCCACTACCAAACTTTGAGCACAACCTTCACCTCCATGTTTCTTAACACTACAGTACAGAATCAGGCATCATTTCATTACACATGCAAAGTGCCATCCAATAATTTTTTACATGCTCTCTTGTACAAGTGTGTGTTCAAATAATGCATCAAAAGAGAGTAAGCTACATTAAGAATGTGACCGAGTCATCTTGGTGTGGATGAAGGACATATTACAGACAGTTGCAAAGACATTACTCCTCACGGTGTCATGTTTCATTAAACTAATTCAACATTCATATAGAATTACTTAAACTTATCAAAGAAAACAGATCAGCCACTAAATTGAAAGGTGACAAATAATTAAAATTCATATACTGTATTGTACCTTTAGGTACGAGGTATACTGTATATACGTACAGTAGTGATAACTAAGAAAGGCTTCAAGGTTACAGACCCTGATGCCAGGAGACACATTTTACTGCAAAAATATGCAACTCTGAGGTACTGTATCGGAGATCATGTTCACCTCAGACCAAACTATCATCAGTATGACAACTGCTTCTGTCCACCAAAGATCACTGTTAACTCTGCTGAGAACATCTAAACAAAACAACAAACACAAAAACTTGATGCAATAAGAGTGTGTGGAGAGATTTATTATAACTAAAGACAAAAAGTTTGTCCTGTAACAGTAACACATCTCATCAACCACCAGGAGTCCACCAAGAGACAAGCAATTAAATAGATATTAAAATATATTTAATGTGTCAAGTGTATTTTTGTGCGTTATAGGGAAATATTTAGACAATTCAGATGTTAACTAAAGTACAATACTGTATAGTGAATTATTCTCAAAGGCTCAGTAAGCTCAGCATGAACGTACAGTCAAATATTATTTATCTCGTATTTCAACAATACCTCGGTGTGTTTCGTCCCCCCACACCCCTGGCAAATTTCTGGGTACGTTACTAATTATTCTCCATGAGAAAATCAGATATGAAGTAAAATAGTGAATGTCCGAACAGTTATGAGACCAAAAATAATATAAAACCCTAAAAGAAACTGAGATCAATAACCAATATTAAGAGCAAAAAACTTTCCCACTGGCCTACAGTATGTTGACTAAGTGAAGGTGTCAGTTTCTGTGCTTGTGGAGATAACTGTCTCCTGTTTACCTGACAACAGTATTCCCATATATGTGCTGTACAGTTCAGTACAGTAAAGTACAATATATCCAAACAAATCATTTCACCAAATTTGGTCTTGCTGACAGACAATGACTCTCAAAAAACTGTTCCTAGGGAGAAAAAATAAAAACAAAGAGAAGATAAACAAAAACAAAGTGAAGATAACATGATAAAGCAGTAAATCCCGGGAGTAAAACAAGTCACCCGAGGCTGAAGAGTGCTCCACGTGTAAACTGGAAAAGCAATACAGTACATCACAAGATGATCGTACACTACACATCAACACCCATAACCAAGAGACCAGGAATTCTTTAATAAATGTATCCTTAGATGATGATGATGATATTAAATATAATTATACGTATATAGTTTCATTAAAATATCTTCTTTGCTTGAAGAGTTATAGAATAGAGAAAAATTTACTGCTGGATGGATGGATGGATAGACACTCAGACAAAGTGGCAAGGCATAATATTCATCTCACAGGTGACTCAAAACTCACTTAAATCATTACATAATTTACAATATTAAACCAATTAACATGTTGATTATTTGTTCTGTAGTTAGGCAATAGTCTAGAATTTGGTCATGCTTTATCTGTAATAAGCCAATCACATACACACTTATCTTATCTTATTGCGGAGGAGTAAAAAATGCTGACAGAGACATTACTTACCGAGCATCAAGTGGACATCAGCCATGGGCAGGGAGAGAAAAGTCTTTACGTTTACATTGTGTCCAGAAAATATGTAAAATGCAGTTTAAAGTGTATGATAGAAGTGCATTTCAGGACTGATGTGTCTATTAGTTTCTTGCATTGAATCACATGAAAGTTTTACCCCCATTATAATCTTGAGACAACCCCAAGCCCCAGCTATTAGTCACACCAGACCGTCAAGACAATAATACACTGTATCAGAACATAAACATACAGACTTATATACTAAAAACTTCATAAAAGAATAAATTAAATTAAAGTTCCGAGCTCTCAAAAGAACTATTGGCCAAACAACAGCCAGTCAAACATGCTATTTGCTAATTTATGAAGCCAAGATAAAGTTTAAACATACAAATAAAGTTAAAGAAGATCATACAGGACAAATAGATTCTCTGTTTTACAGCCATTGTCTACACTTGAAAGAGTTAACACTGTGTTTGGAAAGTCCCTCGGCTCTTAGACTGTCAGTGAGATAAAATTCATCAGTGATATAAGGCATTAATAGCCTCTTAAGATAAACAAAGCTGTGTAGTGAGCACAAAGCTAGATCTGCAACCCTGATATAAGAGTAACTGGATGATTTGGTGAACGTTAACACTATCAATGTTTTGAATATCCTCCAAGCTGACACACACACACATATATGTACCTCCCACACTGCCTTTATCACATTAAGACAAGCCATCAAGAACATGTCTACTGTAAGAGAGCCAACATTTCTTAACTTCTTGGACAGGGTGTCTCCATGGCTAACCTCGCCATAGAAGCCCTTCATATAAACCTTCAGAACATATTTAATAAGACTAATAAGCCTACGGACAATACAGACCGCGTGCATAGCTACAATATGAACCAGATTCGTTATAGCAAAAATAATAATTTAACCACGCTAGAAATCTTTTCACACAAAATGTTTGGAGTCAAGTACTGTAGTGACCGACCTATGAGATTAAACTGTATCTGTCGATGATCTTCTTCAACTCTGGTGCACAGTAACTGCTTCAAAATAAAAGTTCTAATAAAAAATTAGTGACTAAAAGCAAAGTAAGAGTTCACACAAAATTAACCTTATGAAAGAACAGCTGCAAAATGCTAATTAAAGTCTATAGTACCAAAATATTTAAGAGCGAGTACAGTACGGTACAGTATCTGACCTTTAGGCGGCCCAAAGAGGACCACATCCATAGCCTTGATGGTGATCTTGGAGCGATGTTTTGGGTCCTTGATGCCCAACACCTTGGTCAGGAACTGCTCGTTGTTGGCTGCCAGTCTGTAACACATCATTTCTAAGTTCTCTTAAAGATGGTAATATCTACATCATATATATGTGTCAACTCTGAAATATCTTTAAATCAATATACAGTAATAATAATATGATGATGATATGGACAATTCTTACATTAACCTGAAAAACCTACAATAAAATCATTCCACTCTTGTTTACTTAAGACTTAAAAGTTAAATAATTATGAAGTTTATTGATCTATCATAAACAACTTCTCTCTAACTATAAAACAAAATAGTGTTGACTCCTACAAGAGCATATCCACTAGAGAGAGAAACAGTATTAAAGAGTTTAAACTGTTCTAAAATCATAAGCACTAAAGTATATAGTTTATCACTTTATAATATTGAGAACATAAACAGTGATGACAGACACTCGAGGAGAACTTTCAAGAGACTATACTGTACTGTACATATATATGACCTTTAACAATGAATGGGAAATGGGTAGTAGCTCCAGTCTCACATAAGGAGGATATACAAGGAACTGGGTTTACTCCTGGAGCCAATAAGAGTTGGTAGGGGTGTTTATCATCGTCATCATCATTCACTGTGCCATACTTCATGATAGTCAATGTCATGTCGAGCGAGGCCCCCGGGACTAACACCTTCACACTATTCATTTCCCACTCCTTATTAGAGGTATACATTGGTAATTCAGTTTCTCAAGTTACAGACATATTGTACCTATATTATGACACTTCATGAAGTCTTTTAACTGTACTCGACAAGTCCATGTCATCTAGTTTTAGACATCTAAGTGTGCACAGCTATACAAGAGAAGCATTAACATCAATTAATAATCTTCCCCCCTTTAACTAGTGCCTTCAGAACAATGTATTATCTCTCTGCTCTTAACTTTGAAAACATATGTACAGTATACGTATAGATCTATAAATACTGTATGTATATTGTTTATAAATAATTCAAGGTGAAATGCACCTCTTCAACTATAAAATCAAAGAACAGAGGTACTGTACAAATACACTATGTACTGTATGGTAATGAGGAGGTCCATGTTACATGTTACAAGAGAAGGAACATCATCACACAGATTGTGGCAATGATCATGCAGCTATCTATATATCTATATGAAAGGCAACGGTAAATTATAACAAAAACAACACACGCAAGGTACCAGACTCTTCCAAATAAAGTACAAGACATATAATGGATGCAACGGCACAAATAAGCCATCTCACGAAACAGCATGAAGGCTCGGCAGTTTTTATCATGTTAGAAGTGCAAGTCATAAGTCAATGACAGGGGAGAACACATCAACGTCACTGACGCATTTGTGAATTCACCTTTCTACTATATACCTTGAATTTCTTCTTTCGGAACGGGCAGAAATCACGCTGAGAACAGTACTGCAGAAGTGGAAAAGAGGCACAACCGCTAAATTGACTAAAATATGTAGGGAAGTTTTTTTTTTTATTCTTGAAACAAATGTGTCTTCTTATTACTGGTATTTGGTGTGAACAAATATACAGGAAACTACAAACATTCAAATTTCCGATACAAAATGAAGGCATGCTTAATAATTCAAGCAAATGTGAATATTTATAGAGCACTAGTCATTATTACATAACTTACTTTACATACCAAAATATTGACATATAAATATATCATGTTATTAAGTGGTAGGTACTGTACCTAGAGACTCAATACAAACATGTGATAACTGGGACTGTCATAACCACACTTCTGTCCATCACAGAATGTTTCAGAACACAGGAAAAAAATGTACAGTAGTTAAAAAGCTATAGTATTATCAAGAAAAATTAAAAAGAAAAATTATCGATTAGAGAAGCAGTCAAGCCAAAAACCACAATCAAATGGCATGTGGTAGCACTGATTATGCTTACGGCACTTGGGATACTATAAAGAAAATTCTGCTAACTAAAAACAGATAATTTGCCTGAAAATAAAACAGCCAAAACATTAAGTCTTAACACCCACCTTGGCAACACTGATCCATTGACGGCATTCTCGTAAAAATTCCTGGCGTACTGCTGGAGTTCCACTGACTCGGCAAGCCACGCCACGGTCTGGTCCACCGTCCAATTGTGTACCTGAGGATGGTAACGAGATTAAAAAAATAAATAAAAACTTCCTATCCACAATCCTTCAAAAGATTTAGATTTGTGGGGATGAAAGAGCAGAGTAGAACCCAGACAAACATTTACGCTACATTTTAGTTATCCAAAATTATCCAACTAGATCAAACTTAAGTGGGAAAAATTTGCACAAAATCATGACAAAAGCCAATATTTTTTTCCCTCCACTTCCATCCTTTCCTCCCTTCCTTTTCCTTTCCTTTCATGTCACAAGTCACCATTTCCTTCCTTTGGCACTCTGATTGCTCTCTCTCTCTCTCTTTCTCTTCACTCACTCATTCATTCTCTCTCTCTCTCACCTGTCCTTAGTTATTTCCCACTTCCCCTGTCCTTAATTACTCCCCATTTCACTAATGACATCAGTCGCTCACAGCCTAAGTATATGGGTGCACAATAAACTAGCTGCTGACTGTGCCACCCCTCCACCCCCCCCAAAAAAAAAATATATATAAAAATAAATAAATAAATTGATTCCATTGAGATTTAAAAGACTTACCTCTGATTTTTTCCAGATGTGCCACAACTCACGAACAGAGATGTACTGATCATTGTTGTAATGGAAGACTTTCTGCCGCTTCTCATAGCCTTTAGCATATTGTAGCTCCTCCTTCAAAAACTGTGAGGAAGAGAGATACAGTGAGAAAGAGAGAGAGAGAGAGAGAGATAAGTAAGAGAGTTAGATAATGAAGATTACTTTACAGATACATAATAAATACAGTGTTCTTTGCAAATTATACAGTAATATATTGCACTGTATTCCCTAATGTCAGCCACAATCAGATCACCTGAAGATTAACCCAACAGATTAATTTTTCACCATAAGATTAACAACCTCGTCTAACCCCCGTCCAAATGGTATTAGGGGGAGCTAATCCTCAGGTGATCCTTATACCCTAACCTAACCCCCCAGGTAGCGTTAGGGTAGAGAGGAAAGGTAATATTCAGGTGAGTTCTGGTTTTATCAATTGTTTTAATCTAATCTGATATGTGTTATCAAGTTACCTAAACCTTTGTTACAGTAACCTTCCCTACCTGGTCAGTGATAAGTTAACTTTTGACCTGGTGGGGGGGACCTGGTGAGGGGACCTGGTGAGGGGGACCTGGTAAGGGGGACCTGGTGGGGGGACCTGGTGGGGGGACCTGGTGAGGGGGGACCTGGTGAGGGGGGGGGACCTGGTGGGAGGAGGAACCTGGTGCAGAGCCTGGTGGGGGGACCTGGTAGGGGGGGACCTGGTGGGGGGACCTGGTGGGGGAACTGGTGGGGGACCTGGTGGGGGGGACCTGGTGGGGGGGACCTGGTGGAGGGAGACCTGGTGGGGGGGGGACCTGGTGGAGGGAGACCTGGTGGGGGGAGGGACCTGGTGGAGGGAGACCTGGTGGGGTAGACCTGGTGGGTGACTGGGAAGGAATTCAACTTACGTCAACAGACTCGGCCACATCGATGTCACCACTGTGGTCATCATCCAGCTGTGAGTGGAGGCTCTTGATGGCCTCATAATTAGGGATCTCTTCAGGGATGAGACACAGCTCATCCACCAGCATACATCCTGGGGACACACACAAGAAAACCACCAGTTAATCACCAGCTAATTCCTGTAATAACTCTAAAGGTTTGAGAAGAAAAGAAATACATGAATCTATAATACAGTACACGTCCGGGTGACATCTACCGAGAGTATATTTTTTACAGTACAACAGGAGGAAAGACATGTGAAGGGAGAGGAGGATGGGCAGGCCGCGTCCATGACAGATGACCCGTGAGGTATATATACTGCAGGAATACCACAACCACCACCAAAACTTATTTCAGCATCACCGCCACCACCATCACCACTGCCATCACTATCACCAACATCACCACCACGACCATCATCTTCACTGAATAATGGCCTCCTTACCTTCCTTATACATCCTATTACAGGCACACACTATGAGACCTTACAAGTGAAGAGAGAAAAACATTGATTCAGTGAACACATCCAAGACAGCAATGGCCCAATGAGTCGTGACGAGTTGAACGGGCTCTCCAGTAATTCCTTTCCCATAAGTTCGACACACAGACGGACAATGTTTCCAACCCCTCCCCCTGTACTGTCGGTGCACTACGGAGGACAACATCACCAAGAATGTGTTAATTTGTGTAATACTCTTCCTAACAGCCGCTTGAAGAGTACCGGTCACATTAGTCATATTAGTTAAAGAACCAGCTGGAGACGGGAGGGGAGAGGCTGGAGGGGAGAAGGGAGCGTGACGCATACCACCTACGGGAGGTGTGAGTGTGTGGGCGAGAGAATAAAGCTGAACCCTGCTTGCTGCCTACCTACCGTCCTGATAACGCTCACACACACACACACTAACTAGATCCAAGACCCCATATGCCAACTTAACACCTTTAGCCCGTGTCACTCACTCAACTGTTGCACCGCGCCCTCCCGCACCTGTTAACCCCACCTTAATCACTCCGCTACTCACCAACAGCTACAAAAATACCGCCAGATGTGACCAAGAGAGGATAAAAGCTGTGTGAGTACAAGAGCACCAGCGGCACACACATCCCTACCACAACAATAACAGTAAACTCTACTACGCCTACTGTGACGACCCCGTGTAGTCTCCCCGAGGACCTCGTGAGGACCCCGTGTCGTCTCTCTGAGGACCCCGTGTAGTCTCTCTGAGGACCCCGTGTAGTCTCCTCGAGGACCTCGTGAGGACCCCGTGGAGTCTCTGAGGACCCCGTGTAGTCTCTCTGAGGACCTCGTGTAGTCTCCCCGAGGACCTCGTGAGGACCCCGTGTAGTCTCTCTGACGACCCCGGGTAGTCTCTCTGAGGACCCCGTGTAGTCTCCCCGAGGACTTCGTGAGGACCCCGTGTAGTCTCTCTGAGGACCTCGTGAGGACCCCGTGTAGTCTCTCTGAGGACCTCGTGAGGACCCCGTGTAGTCTCTCTGAGGACCTCGTGAAGACCCTATGAGGACCCCGTGTGGATCCTTGAGGACCCCGTGAGCCGTGAGCAAGTTCCAAGTCACAGACAGATGACACCACAGCCTTAATACCAACGGCTACCGCCTCATACAACACCTGCCACACCACATAATTTTGTGTCCCTCATTATTATTGAGGTTCACCTGAACTTAAACCACTCTAAAGTTAACCTAACTTAGCCTCACTTAACCTAACCTAAACCAAACTTAATCTCACCACACTTCACCTAACTTAACATAACCTCACCTCACTTAACCTCACCACCACGAGGAGGAGGAGGAGGCCATGACCCAGCTGTGTGAGTGAGGCGGGGCACCAATATTCACGTTACCATGACTACCGTGTGTGGGCGTCAACAACCCCTTGTGTGGATGGGCGGGTGGGTGTGTGCGCGTCACGCTCACCTGATCCTTAGGACTGGTCAAACCCCCCCCCCCTCAAAAAAAAAGGCTCCCGTGTTAAAATAAGAAAATAAGGAGTCTGCAATAGGCCGGTTGGTCTGTGCATGGCAGCTCCTGTCGAGAGTTACTACCACTCTCTATCATCCATGAATCTATCTAGCCTCCTTTTACAACTTTCCAGCGTTCCAGCACTTACTACAAAGTTGCTAAGCTATTTGTAAACCAGTTCCTTCCTATCTCCCTCCTAAACCTAAACTTATCCAATTAAATCCGTTGCTACGAGTCCTATCCTGCTCGGATATTATAAGAACTTTATCTATATCTCCCCATACTCTTCGTCTTTCTAGGGAATGCAAGTTTAGTTTAGTTAAATACCCCCTCCAACCTGCGACACGAAGATGGCGGCCCCAAACTACTGTATAGTAAAAAACAGAACCATAGTAGGAACCTTTGAGGGCTACACCCCCCCCCCCACCACCATAACAGTATCGACACTAAACCTTACACAGACAACAGATCGGTGTTATAAAAGCTCTCTCATCTCCCCAAGGTAAACGGCAGGTAGATGACTCACCTGGAGGGAAAGCTGGAGGGAAGGCTGGAGGGAGGGAGGGAGGTGAGGATGTCCGGAGGTGAGGGTATCAGGAGGTGAGGATGTCAGGAGGTGAGGATGTCCGGAGGTGAGGATGTCCGGAGGTGAGGATGTCAGGAGGTGAGGATGTCCGGAGGTGGGGGTATCAGGAGGTGAGGATGTCGGAGGTGAGGATGTCAGGAGGTGAGGATGTCAGGAGGTGAGGATGTCAGGAGGTGAGGATGTCAGGAGGTGAGGATGTCAGGAGGTGAGGATGTCCGGAGGTGAGGATGTCAGCAGAATGTCAGCGGGAGGGAAGGAGTATTTGGGTCAGGGTCAGACACAGTAAAAGGAGAGCTGACCACTCCCGTCACACACACACACGCGCGCGCGATTATCAAGACAACTTCCTGCTGATACCACTAGGAGTTGTCCACCACTCAGTCACTCCACTAAAGTCCCCCACTCACTGCCAACACAGGAGTATTACTGAACCTGTACTCTCTCTCACATAGCCCACCACCTCCACTCCACACCTGACCTAACGCCGTGTTGTTGGTCTGTGAAGAATAGAGGGCCTGGTGTCTACTCCCCCAACCAGCATGACGAACTCAACTAGTAATATATCTAATGACCTGTAATCACTGTTAAATGCTACTTGTATATATATATACTAACACCGTATAATTAGTTAAGTAAATTTGTAGGTGAGTGATGTGACTATACTATCATTAAATATATCCGGACCATCTGTGAGCCCAGGTGGACCCTCCCCCGCCCTCTCCTCCCCGTCCCCGAATCCCTCTCCTACCCCCCGTCCCCACCTCCCTCCTACCCCCGACCCCTCCCTCCTGCCCCCGTCCCCACCTCCCTCCTACCCCGTCCCCTCCCTCCTACCCCGTCCCCCCCTCCTCCCACCACCCCAATCCCCACCTCCCTCCCTACCCCCGTCCCCACCTCCCTCCTACCCCGTCCCCACCTCCCTCCTACCCCCGTCCCCCCTCCCTCCCCTAAAAATCATTCTCAAGATCACGTACTGTAACTATGAAGGTTAGGTTAGGTTGTAAGTTAAAATAAAACATTTCCAGGTGATGTCATGGATAGACTAAATTAACCTTTGAAGTCACACCCCCCTCCTCTTGCCCTCAGTCTCATCATTCTCTTCCTCCTCACCTGAATTCAAACACTTCACTGTGCATACCTTCATGAAGTGGATAGCCCCGAGTCTCATCCACTCACACCTCTCCACACACACACACACACATACCTGTACAGTAGGTCGAAAATACAGTATTGGAGAGGCAGTTTGATGATGAGTTCACTATACTAAATAATGAAAAGTGAACTCTCTCTCTCTCTCTCTCTCTCTCTCGCAATCCGGCATTAATCTAGAGTGAAAAATCCAGTCTGGTTAATTGGATTAGTGTTCTGTCTCCATCCACACACACACAGAGCAGTGACCTTGTCTGTGCTGTTGACCCGTGACCTCGTCTACACTCACCCAATCACAGCTGTAAAAACCACACTTACCACACCACACCTGGGGCAAAAACACACCTGCCGCCACCACCATACAACTGCAGGGCGTTTACAAAGTCCCTTGATGCTTGAAGATATTACACTACAGTAAACACAAACATCAAGAGACTCTGCAAACACAAGCATCATTTGACTGTTTAAATAACCTTTTCCAAGCCACACGAGCTACCCATTAACGCCAAGGTCTTCCAGAGGAGATGAAGATGGTAAACATATACACTGGATCAGGTCTCAGGTAGCCCAAGTGTTAATGAGTCCCGCTGGCCCACACAGGTGTTACGTCTGCTGCCCAGGTGTGAAATATTGAGATAAATTTTATAGTTTTATTTAATTAATATACAGTAGGTAGGTGTGTGTGTGTGTGTGTGTGTGTGTGTGTGTGTGGATAATTATCTCACAACAACACAACTCAACAACCATAATTGAAGGAGACACGACAAATAGTCACCATAATTGAAACCGAATGGAAACAGATTCCTTCTCCCTCCCTCCCTCCCTCCATCACTAACACATCACAATCATCAGAGGGAGGAACACACCAAGCGCATCTCACTGCCCTCACCAAGCACATATTTTCCCCTCAAATATGTATTTTCTTTCACGCCGAGGACTCAAAAATGTGTTTCTACCGACGGGAGGGGGAGAGAGAGGGAGGGAGGGGGTGATGAGAGAGAGGGAGGGGGGTGAGAGAGGGGAGGAGGGGGTGAGAGAGGGAGGGGAGGGGGAGGGAGGAGGGAGGGGGTGGGGAGAGGGAGGGAGGGGGGAGAGAGGAGGGGTAGGAGGGACGGGAGGGGTGAGAGAGAGGGAGGGGGCAGAGAGAGGGAGGGAGGGGAGGGAGGGAGGGGGGTGAGAGAGGGATGAGGGTGAGAGAGAGGGAGGGAGGGGTGGAGAGGGAGGGAGGGGGGGTGAGAGAGGGAGGAGGGGGTGAGAGAGGGTGGGGGAGAGGGAGGGAGGGGGTGAGAGAGGGAGGGGTGGGGAGAGAGAGGGAGGGGTGAGAGGGAGGAGGGGGGTGAGAGGACAGACAGAACCAGCTGGATGGAGCGGCGTGATCAGCT